ACCTACGCCGAGCACTTCAATACTTCATCACTACTCGCGAGGTTGGGCTCACCTACGCGGCTAATTTAACAACTACCCTACAGCTTCGTGGCTTCGTGACAGTATCTGCACCGACCTGAAGGGGAGAATCTGCTAGACCTACGCCGAGCACTTCAATACTTCATCACTACTCGTGAGGTTGGGCTCACCTACGCGGCTAATTTAACAGCTACCCTACAGCTTCGTGGCTACGCCAACGCGGACCATGCGGGAAATGTTGACAACAGACGCTCCAGCACATACTTCATTTTTCAACTTCAACCCGCTGGACTCATCTCTTGGAATTCCTAGGAGCAGGAGCTCATCGCTCTTTCGTCAGCCGAAGCTGAGTTCATCGCCGCCACCGCAACTGTTCGCGAAGGGTTATACCTGATGGAGCTCCTGCAGGAAGCGAAAGTAACAATGAACGAGCACTTCACGTTACTCTGCGACAATCAGAGCGCAATAAAGATCGCGAACAAGCCCGGCTTCGTAAATCGCACGAAGCATATCGCACTCCGTTACTTCTTCGTCAAAGACGAAATCGAGAAGGGTAAAGTCAAACTCAGGTATTGCCCAACTGGTGACATGGCAGCACATTTCCTGATGAAGAAGCTGCCATGTCAGAAGATTCAGCACTGCGCCGACCTCTGCGGGATCTCGAAGAAATCCCACGTGGCTCACCTTCAGGAATGAAGGGGATGTCAAAAGCAAGCGAGCAGAAAGATAACGGAAGGAGGGGGTTTCACTAGCAGGCAGTTGGGATACAAATAGCAAACCCTAACCGGACTGTACTCACTATAGAGTACCCCACTGCAGACTAGACAAATATCACATTCTGACACACCCCCATAGGCAAAGTGGGGTATAATCAGCACAGCAAGCAGTCACATAATAAGTTCACAAGCACAAGCAAAGCTAGTGGGAGACATAGAGGACTTGTGAGGAGGAGGAGGGACTGTGAGAGGAGAGGAGATTGGAGGCGGCGGCTGAAGCTGCTGGCACACGGGCTACTGGAGCAACTGGCACACGGGCTACCGGAGCAAGGGCCCCGGACTACTGGAGTAACCGGCTCCGCGGCTAAGACGAGCGGCTGGAGCAACGGACCCACGGGCGACTGGCGCAACGGGCTCGCTGGCTACCGGAGCAAGGGCATCCGGACTACTAGCGCTGCTGGCTCCACAACGGCTACCTCCGTTCAACCTCCCCCACTGTCGCAGACCCCCTTTCACACACCCCCCTATGCACTCCTAGCTCCACTCCCACGACACCCCCCTAGCGCCACTCCCACGGCTCCCACACATCCACCCCCCTCAGCGTCAGCTGTAGCAGTGGGAGACGGAAGAGGAGGAACAGGGGACGGCTCACACACCCGCCACCCTCATACCCGCCACCCCCATAGCTGCACGCGCAGGAGGGAGAGGAAGGAGAAAGGGGAGGGGCGGGGGGGAAGCAGCCCCGTGGCGCACGGGGTCAAGGGGCGGCGCGCGGGTCCCCGGGGGCGCCGCGACAGGCGACGGGGGACGGCGCGCGGGTCCTCGGGGGCGCCGCGACGGGTGACGGGGTGCCGCGCACGGGTCCCTGGGGGCGCCGCGACGGACGACGGGGGGAGCGCGCGGGTCCCCGGTGGCGTCGCGACAGGCGACGGTGTTGAAATATATTCCTTATATAAACTGCTTGTAGCAGTAGTTAGTGTAGTGTTACATTGGTGGTGCACCTCATTCCCTTGTCCCTTACACTATATCTTGTATCTTGCTCATTAGTGAATCACCTTTCTCCTTTGGCAACTCTCTCGACATTCTCCTTCAACCCTAAAACCTAAGCTCCTAAGCTACTCTAGCCATGGCTCCTAAGCCTAACTTGGCTTAGGTTTCTGACAAGCTATCAAAGCCACTACGCTCCTGGCCTGTGGGCCCACTTGCTTCCGCTGCTGTACTGTCTGTCGCGCGCCCCGTGGCGCGCGACGTTCTATCTTCCCGCCATGCGCTCGAGGCGCGTGGCGGTTTTCTACCCGCCACGCGCTCGGGGCGCGTGGCGGTTTCCTGACCGCCGCGCGCCTCGGGCGCGCGCGGCGGTTTCACGCCCCGTCGTCCGTCGCGGTGCCCCCATGGACCCGCGCTCGGCCCCCCCGTCGCCTGTCGCGGCGCCCCCGAGGACCAGCGCGCCGCCCCCAGGGGGCCACGCGCCAACCCCCCCGTCGCCCGTCGCGTCGCCCCCGTGGACCCGCGAGTTGCCCCCGCGGGCGCTGCCCTGTGGCTCCCGCGCGCCTCGGAGGGGCGGCGGTTTTCAGCCAGCGAGCCGCCCCTGCAGCCCGCGAGCCGCCCCTGCAGCCTGTGCGCTGCCCCTGCAGCCCGTGCGCCGCCTCTGCAGCCCGCGCGCCTGCCCCTGCAGTCGCGGGGCAGCTCCTGCCCTTCTACCCCGCCTCCTTCTCCCTGCTACGCATGCAGTTGTGGGGGGGGGGGGGGTATGGGGGTGGCGGGAAGCAGCGGAGCAGCTCCTACCCCGCCCCCTCGACTCCATCTCCCTGCTGCACCTGCAGCAATGGGGGGGGGTATGGGGGTGGCGGGCGTGCGTGTTGAGCTGCCGCTCCTCCTCCTCTCTCTCCCACTGCTGGAGCTGCAGCTGAAGGGGGGGGAGGGTGTGGTGGAGACTTGGGAGTGGCGCTAGGGCAGAGGGGTGTGACACGGGGGGGGTGGGACAATCCGAGGGGGGTGAGGGCAGGTGGCCGCTGTGAAGTCCGCAGCTCTAGTCGCCCGTGAGACCGTTGCGTCAGAGGCCCGTGGGTCAGTTGCTCTTGCCGGCGAGCGAGCCAGTTACTCCGGTTACCCGTTGCTCCGGTCCCCAGAGGGTCAGTTGCTCTTGCCGGCGAGCAGAGCCAGTTACGCCGTTTGCGACCAGTGCCAGCAGCTTCAGCGGCCGCCCACCTCCTCTTCTCTCCAGTTTCCTCCTCCTCCTCACTTGCCCTCTCCTTCTGCTGCGCTTGGTGTACCCCTTCAGGGGGTGTCTCTGCATTAGCTTCCTGCTGCAAGCAGTTTAGGGGGTGCGTTGAAATATATTTCTTATATAAACTGCTTGTGGCGGTAGTTAGTGTAGTGTTACATTGGTGGTGCACCTCATTCCCTTGTCCCTTACACTATATCTTGTATCTTGCTCATTAGTGAATCACCTTTCTCCTTTGGCAACTCTCTCGACATTCTCCTTCAACCCTAAAACCTAAGCTCCTAAGCTACTCTAGCCATGGCTCCTAAGCCTAACTTGGCTTAGGTTTCTGACAGACGGGGGGTGGCGCGCGGATCCCCGGGAGCGCCGTGACGGAGCGTGAAACCGCTGCGCGCGCCCGGGGCGCGTGGTGGGAAGGAAACCGCCACCCGCCCCGAGCACGTGGCGGGCAGAAAACCGCCACGCGCCTCGAGCGCGTGGCGGGAAGAAAAAACGTCGCGCGCCACGGGGCGCGCGACAGACAGTACAGCAGCGGAAGCAGGTGGGCCCACAGGCCAGGAGCGTAGACGCTCTGATAGCATGTCAAAAGTAAGCAAGCAGAAAGATATCAGAAGGAGGGGGTTTCACTAGCAGGCAGTTGGGATACAAATAGCAAACCCTAACCGGGCTGTACTCACTATAGAGTACCCCACTGCAGACTAGACAAATATCACATTCTGACAGGGGAGTGTTGGAATAACTAACGGTTATGATAACATTCCCGAAGGCTTCACTTAGCGCATCGCCTCATAACGAGGCAGCGCACCTGTACCACTATCGCGTTAAGCTCTTACAGAGCACGTGGTAGCTCGAGAGTCACTCGAAGGTCAACAGTCGCAGATAGTCAACTTTCGCGACAGTTGACCGCCCAGTAACCGTACTCGGAGGTTACACGATGCAACATGGTAACTGTCGAGCATAGTAATAGTCACGGTTACTGTGGCAATGCAATACAGTTAATACGGGAATGTATCCCTCATAGTACATGGCTAGCTAGGATTGCTATTTATATCATTGTAATCCTAGATTAAAATCATATTGTTCTTTTAATCATTATCAACAAGGTCATTACAAAGACTTCCATAGTCTTCTCACAAACTTGGCTAGCTTATCCTATCCACTACGATTCTTGGTTATATCAACAACTTTGACAAGCCATAGCTAGGCGGGGACCTCGGAAGACGAGGTTGGGTGCTGGTCTGAGGCTTCCAAGTCCGAAGGCGACTTGGGTCAGCTTCGGGAGGCGATGTCTTCCGAAATGTTGGAGTCGTACGCGTAGTTGTGTGATTCAATAAGGTTTGTGCAGATTTCTCTACAAATAATTTATACACGTAGCAAGTGTACAGATTTTGGCGTGATGCAATTGTTGGCGGCTTGATTTGACGCGAAGACGACCTTCTGATTGGCCTGACTGGTTCGGCTCGTGAGACCAGACCTCGAATACGAAACCAGGAACGCTTACAAATCACGACGAACCCCTCCAGCCTTGGGAGCTCCTCGAGCCTCGAGAGTTCATCGAGCTTGGAAAGCCTCGGGACCTGATAGAGCCTCGGGAACTCATCGAGCCTGCTGTGGTGCTCGTCATCGTGGCGCAGAAGGCAGCAATATCAGGGACGGCCTGCTTTGGAGGGCGTCGCGGCGGGGATCATTGGATGAGGACAGGGAGGTCAGGGAGGCAAGGTCAAAGGTACTGTACGTACCTTGTCCTCTGCTTTTCACAACCTTGTGCCGTGCTCTGGTGGGTCAGGGACTCAGGGCACCAGCAGGCGAGAGCTTGCGGGGTGGAGAAGCGGGTTCGAGCCAAAGAACCTTGCAGACTAGGGCAGGGACATGGCAAGAAGCACAGCAACTCCCACCTGTTCTTTCGCCCAGGAGTTTTTGACCGAAAGATGCTGACTCTTGAGAGATCAGAATAGTTTCTTGATTTCTGTGCCGCTAACCAGTTCAAGCTCGTGCCAGTGGCGCGATTACCGTACGACTCAGAAAATGTTTGCGCGGCCGCCATGGCGCGACGCACCGCGTGGAGAACCCGCCGACGCCGCATTGCAGTCTCTCCCATCCGCGGCTTCGTTCGGCGCCACGTATTCTCCCTCATCCTCGCCGCTCTCCTCCTCTGCGCGGCCCTGCCCCGTTGCGTGCTCGCCTGTGACGCGATCCAACCCGAGCCTTTTCCCTCGCTCGCCGCTCACCTTTCCGCCCCGCCATCGCCGATTAACCGCGGCGCGGAGTTTCGGGAGTTGCATGCGACACGTGTCGCCGACGGTGGGGGCCGGGGCGACGAGAGCGAGCAGAGAGATAGCGAGCGGCGAGCTACACGACATGGCGCATCGTTGCTGCTTCTGCTGGCGGGGCAGGAAGGGCTGGGGCAGGAAGAAACGAGCGACGGGGGTTGGACGGACGGCGCGCGGGCAAGAATGGGAGACGCAGCGGTATCAGCGGCAGAGGAGTCAGCGGCAGCGGCGGCAGTGCCCGTTCCAGCGGAGCCGTCAACGGCGCACTGTTACTGCCCTAGCGACGACTGGGACGACACCGGCGACGACTGGCACGACACGCGCGACGACTGGCAGCAGCGCGCGGAGGCATGGGCAGCGGAGGACGCGCGTGGGGCTGGGGTGGTTGAGACGGGCCGCGGCAGCGATGCGGGCGTCGTAACGCAAGGTGAGGGCGACGGCGCATGGCCGGCAGCAGGGGCGCTACGGCTGCCTAGCGAGGGCGCGCGGCCGCTCGGCGTGAAGATGGTGGTCGAGGCGGTCAGCAGGCATGGCAGCGACAGCAACGTGGGTGGGGAACGGCGCAGCGACGGGCTAGACAGGGGGGGTCTGCACCCGCGTCAAGGGGCGAGTGAACCGGAGACGGCAGGAGCCATGGCAGTGTGCGACGGAATGCGCGGGTGTGCGGCCGGAGCGGAACACGCGGTGGGCTTGCTCCTACCCACGTCGCAGGTCACGCACCCCGGGACCGCTCACTCAGCGCGCCCTCATGCGCTTCTACTCAGTGCACATTCCGAACAAGGCGCCTCTGCGCTCATCCACAGCGTCGCCTCTCCAGCCCTCCCGGTTTACAACATTCTAACGGCGCCGCCGGCCAGTGCGCGCGTCAGCGGGAAGGGGATGAGGAAGCGGGTGAGGAGCGAGCAGCGGCGCCTGCTCGCGCTCTACGCGCGCCATATGTCCGGACCTGGCCGCTGGGTTGGGCCCCTCCCGGACGTCCCGAATGGCGGCTCCTGGGTCTTTGCGCCGCTCCGCTCCCCCCTGCACGTGCGCTCGTTGGCGCAGATCCCCCGCAGCTTCCCCCTGTTCGACGCGGAAGCCGCCTGCCGGCTGCATCTCGTGGTCACCGACGCGGATTCCTTCCGCCGATGGCTGCCCGAATCGCCGCCGAACGCCACTGGCGCAACCACCCTGGCGGAGGTCGAGCAGCCGAGGAGTTCAGGTGCGCCCGCGCTTTCCGCCAACCCCGCGCCTCCTGCTCCTCACGCGGCCCCGCAGCCGCCACCGGCGCAGACAGTGGGGGGCAGGCGGAGCGACGCTGCGCCGCTGGTGGTGCTGAGCACAAGCACTTTCTCCACTGGCGCGGGCGCGGGGGGGATTGCGGGGAAGCAGGGCACCGTGGTGCAGCTTTGGGCGGAAAGTGACGACCGCGAAGGGGGGGGACAGGCGGACTTGGGGCTTGAAATGGGGTTGAGACTTGGGCTGGGGTCGGGGGGAGAAAGGCAACGCGCGGAGCAAGGGGCGGAGGCAGGTGCTTGGAAGGCGGGGAGCGGAGAGAGGAGGAGCTTGTTGGCAGCTGACGTGTGCGGAGGCGTGGGGGGCTGGCGGGACCAGGGGGACGAGGAGGCGAGTGGAGGGCTGGTAGCGGCCGGGCCAGGGAAAGATAATGTGAGAGTGAGTGGGGCGGAGGGCGCGGGGACGGGGGCAGGGTCGGGGGCGGGGTGGGGGGCGGGAACGGGCGCGAGCAGTGAGGGGCGGGAGTGGGTGTTGCGGTGGACGATGTGGAACGTGCATGGCACGGATGGCGCTAAGGATGACTGGGCACATGGGGACGGATTGCCTGTGGATTGGCCGGTGCTCGAGGCACGCGAGGCTGCGAGGCTGGATGCGCTGATTGCGACGCAGCTGAGTGGGGAAGGAGGAGGAGGGAGCGAGGAAGGGGGAGCGGTAGGGGGAGGGGGAAGGAGACAATTGAAGGATGCGTATGAGGGCGATGCGGAGATAGGGACGGACTTAAAGGAGAGGAGTAGGCGACTCATGGAGGAAGAAGGAGGGGTGTCGTTGCATGCGAACGCGCAAGGGGCTGGCCCACAGGCCGGCGAGCTAGTCTCCTCCTCTGAAATGCACACAGACACTGGTGGCATGGCGACGACTCGTCGCGCACCACCGCCCGGTACCGCTCTGCAAACCCCTCCACCACGGTCCAGCCAGCGGTCACTGGACGTGAAGGTGGCCAAGGAGGAGATCGAGGCGGCGATTGCAGCAGCGCTGGCAGCGGCGCACCAACAGCGCGTGCTTCTGGCGCTCAACATCTTTGCGCCCGTGGTGCGCGTCGTCGCCCCCCACATGCCCCCCATCACCCTCGTAGAGCGCCTCGCCAAGGCGCGCTCGCTGCACCCGCTGCTCGCGCACCTGCTGCGCCTGGACGTGCGGATACATGAGGTGGAGCTGGTGGTGCGCGCGGAACCCGCGCCTCCGCCTCCGCCCGCGGGCGGAGTGCGCGGGAGCAACCTGTCCGCGCTCACGCGGGGGCATTTCGATGTGTGGAGCGCAGGGAGTGGGAAGCAGCTGGCGGCGGGGAAGGTGCTGCAGCAGTGGGACGCGTATGACGTGGTCAATGTCACGTCCGGGGATGTGGGGCGCGACTGGCGCTTCTCCTCCCTTGCTTACAACTTTGAGCCTGTTAAGCCTCCGCGCCCGCCGCCCCCGCCCTCCCCGCCGGCCCCCCCTCCGCCCCCGTTTCCTCCTCCGTTTCCCCCGCCCGCGCCCTCGCCCCCACCGCCGTCCCCTCCGCCTCCCGCCCCTCCGCCCCCTCCTTCGCCTCCGCCTAAGCCTCCGCCGCCCAGCCCGCCTCCCCAGCCGCCGCCCCCTAGCCCGCCGCCTTCTCCTCCCCCTCCGCCCCAGCCCCCACCGTCACCCCCTCCGTCTCCGCCACCCTCGCCCCCGCCAAACCCACCGCCCCCACCACCGCCCCCCTCTCCTCCCCCACCATCTCCCCCTCCCTCGCCGCCTCCCCCACTTCCGCCTCCTCCTTCCCCTCCGCCCAGTCCTCCTCCCTCCCCGCCCCCACCTTCGCCCCCCCCTCCGCCATCTCCACCGCCCCCCTCCCCCCCTCCGTCGCCTCCCCCGCCCTCACCGCCTCCCCCTAGCCCTCCCCACCCACCTCCCTCCCCTCCCCCATCTCCCCCGTCCCCCCCACCATTCCCCCCTCCCTCACCTCCTCCCTCACCTCCTCCCTCTCCCCCTCCCCCGTCCCCTCCCCCTCCGCGCCCTCCTTCCCCGCCTCCTAACCCACCACCCCCGAACCCTCCCCCTTCTCCACCCCCACCGTTCCCCCCTCCACCGTCCCCTCCGCCGCCCCCTTCCCCCCCTCCCCCACTCGCGCCCCTCTCCCCCGCCGACGCACGCCTGGGGATCATCCAGTCCCTGGGCGAGTGGCAGAGGGCAATAGCAGCACAGCAGCTCACGGCAGCAGCCGAAATCTTCTCCCCCACGTGCCTCCTCCTCGCGCCCACCCTACCACTCCTCACCCTCACCTCCCTCTCCGACCGTCTGTCAGCACTGCAGCTGCTGCCAGCAGGGTGCGGCACAGACCAGCTATTCGCAGCAGTGCTGGCGGTGGGGGTGTTTAATGGAGTGGGGGATGATAGGGATCCGGGCGGGGCGTATGTGGTGCTCAGCACGGGCGTGTTTAGCTTCTCTGCGCCTGACGGCGCTGTGCTAGAGTCTGCTAATGCTGTTGCGCTCTGGGAAGTGAGGGACAGGGCGCGGGAGGCGCAGGGGTATGGCTGGGGCAGCGGCAGGGGCAGGAGCAGTGGCAGCGGTAGGGATGCGGTAGAAGCTGTGGCGGATGGGGAGGTGGTGGGAACGGGTGGGTTGAGAATGGTGAGTGGTGGGGGAGGAGGGTTGCCGGATGGGGTATCAGATGGAAGGGATGGCATGCACCAGGCAGCGCACATAAGGCAGCTGTTTCAGGAAGAGGTGAACCGCCGGCGGCTGCAGGAGCAGGAGCAGTGGCAGGGGCAGCAGCAGGGGCAGGGGCAGGGGCAGGGGCAGGGGCAGGGGCAGGGGCAGGGGCAGGGGCAGCAGCAGGGGCAGGGGCAACAGCAGGGGCAGGGGCAGGGGCAGCAGCAGGGGCAGGGGCAGGGGCAGCAGAAGCTGCAGAAAGAGGGGCAGCAGCAGCAGCAGCAGCAGCAGTGGTGGCGGCCCCAGGAGGCGAGTCAGAACGGCCAGCTGTGGTCTGCGCGAGTTGTGGTGTGGAATTCGAGGCTCTCAGCCTTCCCCCCAGGCCGCGGGCAAGGCACGGGCATAGAAGACGCACTTAACCTGCTCTGGCTCCTCCCGCCCCTCCCACCCTCCCCTCCCCCCTCTGCCTCCGCCCCGCCTCGCCTCTCCCTCTCACCTGTGCCTTCCGGGCCTCTTCCCTTGATCTCACTGCAGGCGTCTCTGGCACCAGCAGTGGCAGCACCACCTATCCTTGCTGCCGTCTCCCTTGAACCACTCCCACTGCCACAGCCTGTGCTTCCACTGGTGCTTCCGCAGGTGGCGCGGGCGGGAGGTGCAGGGCTGTCAAGTGGGGCAGTGGGAAAGGGCGTGCTGCTGCAAGGGGCAACGAGGGGGGAATTCACAGCGGCGCAGGAAGAGCAGGAGGCACGGACACAGGCGCAGGGGCTGGTGGACGGGGAGGAGGGGTCGAGTGGGGGGCTGATGCTGGTTGGGGAGAGCAGGCAGCATGCAGAGGGGATGGGTGTGAGGAGACGCGTGCAGCTGGAAATGGGCATGGCAGGGCAGGGAGAGTTGGGGGGAGGGGTGGGGGTACGGGTGGAGGAAGGAGGAAGGGACGGAGGGCACGGGGCGTGGGGGCGGGGCAGGGGGCGGGGGGGGTTGCTGATAGAGCAGGTGGATGGCGTGTGCTGGGTGCAGGCACAGCAGCGGGGCGCGCAGGGAGAGGCGCAGCAGCAGTGGCGAGGGAAGGCGATGGGGGCGGTGGAAGGGTGGGCAGAGGAAGCAGGTGGGAGGGGAGGGTGGGAGCGGTGGGTGCGGTGGGTGATGCGGGCAGTGGCACGGGTGGTGGTGGGGGGCGCGGTGTGGTGGCAGCAGGCTCGGGAGATGCTTTCCGTGCGTGGAGCCATGCAGCATGAGAGTGGCGTGCAGAGGCTGGGGTGGGGAGTGGGGGGATGTGGAGGAGGAGAGGGTTGTGGGAGCAGTGATGGTGGCAGTGATGGTGTGATGCAGCAGAGTGTGAGGGAGCAGAGTGGAGGTATGCAGCAGCACGGGCATAGGTTAAAGGCACCGTTGCTCATCGTGCCATTTGCAGGGCCGGGGGCGATCAGTCGCAGCAGGAAGGATGCTGGTTTGGAAACAGTGGACGGCACAGGACACCCAGGCTCCATGCATGCAAGCACCAGCAGGCTTCACAGTACTGCTCCTGAAGGCGATACCACACCCCCATGGCCGCTCATGCATGACGCAGCAAGTACCGCTACTGCCTCTCTCCCCACTGCTCCCTTCCCCACCTCTCCCCCACCATCTCCCCACACCAAGCCCCCAGTTCCCCCAACCCCCCCCCGCTCGCCGCTCGAAGCCAACGCATCGGCCATTAGAAGGGAGATCGCTGTCTCCCTGCGCTGCTGGCGGCAGCACGTGGAGGCGAGGGATGAGCAGCGTGCTGCTGCCATCTTCGCCCCGGTCACCTCCCTCACCGCCCCCGGCCACGACCCCCTGCTGCTCCCAGACCTGCCCTCCAAACTCACTGCGATTAAGCCCTTTCTGGAGGGGCGGGCGGTGGTGCGAGTGCGGTTGGGCGCGGTTCAGGTGGTGAAGCGGGGCGTGCAGCCGGGGCAGGCGGTGGCAGTGGTGGCGCAGGGGGAGTTTGAGCTGAGCTGGCGCGGAGAAGCGGAGCGGGAGTGGAGATTACCGGGCAAGGGAGTGATGCTGTGGGAACCCAGAGAGGCACTGGCTGTGGTAGCGTGGCTGGATGGAGAGACTCCGTGGAACGGGAAAATGGTTGGTGATGCTGTTGGGGGTGGTTATGACTTGGGCGGGACACGGGGCGAGGGTGAGTGTGGAGGGGAGGAGAGGCAGTGGATGGTGCGCATGGCGATCTGGAACTATGACTATCACGCCCCTCCGCCCACTGCTCCCTCGCCTCCTCCCCCACCCCCCAACTTGCCGCCTCCCAACCCTCCGCCATCCTCCCCTTCCCCCCCTCCTCTTTTCCCTCCGCCCCCTTCTCCCCCTCCCCTTTCTCCCCCTCCCCCTTCCCCCTCTCCCCCTTCTCCTCCCCCTTCTCCGCCTCCCCCTGCTCCGCCTCCCCCTGCTCCGCCTCCCCCTTTTCCTCCTCCCCTTTTTCCCCCTCCCCCGTCTCCCCCTCCCCCTTCTCCCCCTCCCCCTTTTCCCCCTCCCCCTTCTCCCCCTCCGCCTCCCCCTTCTCCTCCTCCCCCTCCACCACCCTCCCCTCCCCCAAATTCTCCGCCCCCACCATCCCCTCAACCCCAGCCCCCATCCCCGCCGTCTCCCAACCCACCCTACGCCCCTCCCCCGCCCACTCACCCCCCTCCATCTCCTCCTCCCCCCTCTCCACCTCCTTTACCTCCCCCTCCCCTTCCCCCGTCTCCTCCCCCTCCCTTTCCTCCTCTACCCTCTCCACCCCCGTCTCCCCCTCCCCCCTCTCCCCCTCCTCCTCCATCTCCCCCACCTTCTCCCCCTCCTCCCTCTCCTCCATCTCCCCCCCCTTCTCCCCCTCCCCCCTCTCCCCCCCCTTCTCCCCCTCCCCCCTCTCCCCCCCCACCTCCATCCGCCCCTCCGTCTCCCCCTCCCCCCTCTCCCCCTCCTCCTCCATCTCCCCCACCTTCTCCCCCTCCTCCCTCTCCTCCATCTCCCCCCCCTTCTCCCCCTCCCCCCTCTCCCCCCCCACCTCCATCTCCCCCTCCGTCTCCCCCTCCCCCCTCTCCCCCTCCTCCTCCATCTCCCCCACCTTCTCCCCCTCCTCCCTCTCCTCCATCTCCCCCCCCTTCTCCCCCTCTCCCCTCTCCCCCCCCACCTCCATCTCCCCCTCCCCCCTCTCCCCCCCCTCCATCTCCCCCCCCTCCATCTCCCCCACCTCCGTCTCCTTCTCTCCCCTCTCCTCCTCCTCCTCCTCTTCCCCCTTCCATACCCCCTCCTCCCTCTCCTTTCCCACCACCTCCTCCCTCTCCTCCTCCCTCTCCTCCTCCTCCCTCTCCTCCTCCTCCCTCTCCTCCTCCTCCCTCCCCTCCTCCCTCCCCTCCTCCTCCCTCTCCTCCTCCTCCCTCTCCCCCTCCTCCCTCACCTCCTCCTCCTTCTCCTCCTCCTCCCTCTCCTCCCTCTCCCCCTCCTCCTTCTCCCCCTCCTCCCTCACCTCCTCCTCCCTCTCCTCCTCCCTCTCCCCCTCCTCCCTCTCCTCCTCCTCCTCCTTCTCCCCCTCCTCCCTATCCTCCTCCTCCCTCTCCCCCTCCTCCCTCTCCTCCTCCCTCTCCTCCCCCACCCTCTCCTCCTCCCTCACCCCCTCCCCCCTGCCCCCCCTGTCCCCCCCCCAGGCGCAGGCCTCCTCCTCCTCGTCCCCCGTTTCCCCCCCCTCTCCCTCCCCCACGTCTCCCTCCACTTCCCCCTCCACCCCCTTCCCCTGTAGTTCCAACTTCTCCCCCACCCTCACCTCCTCGCCCCTCGCCACCTCCTCCCTCTCCCCCTCCCTCCCCTCCTCCTTCTCCCCCTCCAAATCCCCCTCCCTCCCCCCCTCCCTCTCCCCCTCCCTCTCCCCCTCCTTCTCCTCCTCCCTCTCCTCCTCCCTCTCCTCCTCCCTCTCCTCCTCCCTCTCCACCTCCATCTCCCCCACCTCCTTCCCCTCCTCCTCCCTCCCCTCCTCCCTCTCCCCCTCCCTCTCCTCCTCCCTCTCCTCCTCCCTCTCCTCCTCCCTCTCCTCCTCCCTCTCCTCCTCCCTCTCCTCCTCCCTCTCCACCTCCATCTCCCCCACCTCCTTCCCCTCCTCCTCCCTCCCCTCCTCCCTCTCCCCCTCCCTCTCCTCCTCCCTCTCCTCCTCCCTCTCCTCCTCCCTCTCCTCCTCCATCTCCCCCACCTCCTTCCCCTCCTCCTCCCTCCCCTCCTCCCTCTCCCCCTCCCTCTCCTCCTCCCTCTCCCCCTCCCTCCCCTCCTCCCTCTCCTCCTCCATCCCCCCCACCCCCTTCCCCTCCTCCTCCCTCCCCTCCCCCCTCCCCTCCTCCCTCCCCCCCTCCCTCCCCCTCCTCCCTCCCCTCCTCCCTCCCCTCCTCCCTCACCCCCTCCGTCTCCCCCTCCTTCTCCTCCTCCCTCTCCTCCTCCCTCTCCTCCTCCATCTCCCCCACCTCCTTCCCCTCCTCCTCCCTCCCCTCCTCCCTCTCCCCCTCCCTCTCCTCCTCCCTCTCCTCCTCCCTCTCCTCCTCCCTCTCCTCCTCCATCTCCCCCACCTCCTTCCCCTCCTCCTCCCTCCCCTCCTCCCTCTCCCCCTCCCTCTCCTCCTCCCTCTCCCCCTCCCTCCCCTCCTCCCTCTCCTCCTCCATCCCCCCCACCCCCTTCCCCTCCTCCTCCCTCCCCTCCCCCCTCCCCTCCTCCCTCCCCCCCTCCCTCCCCTCCTCCCTCCCCTCCTCCCTCCCCTCCTCCCTCACCCCCTCCGTCTCCCCCTCCTTCTCCTCCTCCCTCTCCTCCTCCCTCTCCTCCTCCATCCCCCCCACCCCCTTCCCCTCCTCCTCCCTCCCCTCCCCCCTCCCCTCCTCCCTCCCCCCCTCCCTCCCCTCCTCCCTCCCCTCCTCCCTCCCCTCCTCCCTCACCCCCTCCGTCTCCCCCTCCTTCTCCTCCTCCCTCTCCTCCTCCCTCTCCTCCTCCCTCTCCCCCTCCCTCTCCTCCTCCCTCTCCCCCTCCCTCCCCTCCTCCCTCTCCTCCTCCATCCCCCCCACCCCCTTCCCCTCCTCCTCCCTCCCCTCCCCCCTCCCCTCCTCCCTCCCCCCCTCCCTCCCCTCCTCCCTCCCCTCCTCCCTCCCCTCCTCCCTCACCCCCTCCCTCTCCCCCTCCTTCTCCTCCTCCCTCTCCTCCTCCCTCTCCTCCTCCCTCTCCTCCTCCCTCTCCACCTCCATCTCCCCCACCTCCTTCCCCTCCTCCTCCCTCCCCTCCTCCCTCTCCCCCTCCCTCTCCTCCTCCCTCTCCTCCTCCCTCTCCTCCTCCCTCTCCTCCTCCATCTCCCCCACCTCCTTCCCCTCCTCCTCCCTCCCCTCCTCCCTCTCCCCCTCCCTCTCCTCCTCCCTCTCCCCCTCCCTCCCCTCCTCCCTCTCCTCCTCCATCCCCCCCACCCCCTTCCCCTCCTCCTCCCTCCCCTCCCCCCTCCCCTCCTCCCTCCCCCCCTCCCTCCCCTCCTCCCTCCCCTCCTCCCTCCCCTCCTCCCTCACCCCCTCCGTCTCCCCCTCCTTCTCCTCCTCCCTCTCCTCCTCCCTCTCCTCCTCCATCTCCCCCACCTCCTTCCCCGCCTCCTCCCTCCCCTCCTCCTTCTCCCCCTCCCTCCCCTCCTCCCTCCCCTCCTCCTTCCCCTCCTCCCTCTCCCCCTCCTTCCCCTCCTCCCTCCCCTCCTCCCTCCCCCCCTCCCTCCCCCCCTCCATCTCCCCCACCTCCTTCCCCTCCTCCTCCCTCTCCCCCCCCACCATCACCACCACCTCCTCCATCCCCCCCTCCACCTTCCCCTCCTCCCCGTCCTCCCCCATCCCCCCCTCCTCCCCATCCCCCACCTTCTCCTCCCCCACCATTCCCTCCTCCATCCCCGCCTCCACCTCACCCACCTCCCCCTTCTCCCCCTCCGCCTCCCCCCCCTTCCCCCCCGCCACTCCCCCCGTATGGCTGGTGGTGTGCCCTCTGGCCCTGGACCTGCCTGGCGCCCCCCCTCCCTCCCTACACCGCCCCTCCTCCTCCCCCGCCCCACATCCCTTCCCCCAGCCCTCCTTTCCCCCCACCCCGCCCCTCTGGTCCCCCTCCCCCACCGGACCCCTGCCACCCCCCACCCCCTCCCCCGCCTGGTGGGGGGGACGAGCCTGCTGCCTGGTGGTGTGCCCTTTGGCCCTGGCGCTGCATGCCCCCCCCACCCTCCCCCGCCCTCCCCTCTCCTCCTCACCCTCCATCCCCTCCATTCCCCCACCCTTGCTCACCTCCCCCTCATTTCCCCTCTCCGCCGCACCCCCATTCTTCCCCACACCCCCCTCCCCCGCACCCTCGCCTTCCCCCTGCCCCGCCCCCCCCTCCCATGCCCCCAAAGCCCCCACCTCCGCCATCGCCTTCCCCCCCTCCCCCTCTTCCCCCGTGGCAATGCTCTCTGTACCCCTGGTTACCGGAGTGCCATCTAGGGCAAAGGCGAGCTGTGGATGGTATGGGGCAGCAGCAGACAGGAGAAGCAGAGGAAGGGGACGGGAGGAACATGCAGGGCGTGGTTTCACCTGATGCAGGGAGGCAGGCTGTGCTGCAGGGAACTCATTCTCCTGCTGCTGGTGCGAGCATGGCAAGCAGGACCAGCAGCAGCAGCAGCAGCAGCAGCAGAAGGGCGAATGCTCCAATCCTTGTGCATCAGATGGCAGCACCTGTTGAGTCAGGACTTCTGTCAAGCGGGGTTAAGGGTGCTCGTTTGAGAGAGGAACAGCAGAGGAGCAGAGGAGGAGAGCAGGTGGAGCTGGCACTGCAGGAGGGTGTGGAGGGTGTGGAGGGTAAGAGAGAGCAACCTTTAGAGCATGGCGTGAGTTCTGAGGCCGATGAAATGGTGGACTGTGGTGCAGGGACTGGGGCGGATTCAGGGAAGGCGTGTGGTAGAAGGGAGCGGTTGGATGGATTGAGCAGTGCTGAGGATGAGAGGCATGCTGGCAAGGAGGCATTGCTATCGCTGAGCCCGAGGAACAAGGTGCAGGAGCCGAGTGTGTCAGCAGGTGGAGGGTCTGTTGCAGGTTTAGAAGCGGAGAAGCACATGGAGCAGGACAGGCACATGGTGCATGTTGCACAGTCCACACAGCAGCAGGTGCTGCGCAAGAAAGAGCAGCTGATGTCGCGACAGCAGGTGCAGCTGGAGCAAGCAGAACACATGTCGGTGTGGCAGCTGTTGTCATCCTGGTGGGCTGAAGAGGTGCTCACAGTGTGGGTGGAACAAATGAGCGTGGGGTCATGCTCGGGCAACCATAAGGGCGGCGGGTATGGGGACCCAAAGCCGATAGCATCGTTTTAGTGGCGGTGACGGTGTTTGTAAGCATTACTAACAGCACGTTTTAGTTGCCTGACAGGGCAAGACGTTTTACTCTTCCACAAGCTAACTGCCGTAGTGTAAAGTACCGGTAACTGGATAAAGGCATTCATCGGTAATCTATGGAGGATGTGTAAAGCTCCTTTGATTATTGATTGGCATCAGTATAACTATACCGTATGGCCTAATGCGGAAGGCTGAAAGCCCGCAGCGCAAGTTGTTCAACCTTCAGTCATACTAAGTAATTCTGTGAATAGTGTACGCAGCACACACTCTCCCAGACAGTAAACGGGCGGGGATTCACAGTGAGTACGCAAGGCGTGGGGAAGGCGTGCAGCTATTTTCCGCCCTTCCGCCTCGGCTCTGTCATTCCCTGCCTATCCGACCCGACTTGGCATCTGCTCGCGTCGCATCGCCAGAATGTCCTCTCCCCGCATCCTTGTCGTGAATGGCGCCAAGCGCGCATTGCAGCACCAATGTGCCGCATTGCGCATTGCGCATTGCCCCTTTTCGGGTGGGCTCGAGAGGGCGATGTGCAATCAGAACCCGGTCGCTGTATGCGACTGTCTTGACGCGCCCAATCACACGCTTGCTCGAATTTCCTCTATTCGACGCCAACCCGTCCCCCCTCGCTAGCAAAGTGCTCCCTTACACCTGGTACTTTCACTCCTCTGAGCGACATCACAGCCCTTGTCAGCCATCACTCCTCGCCGCAGCACGACAAAAGCGTCTCCTTCTCGACTGCGGGGAGCCTCCTAGCCATCTTCCCGTTTATGTCACCACACCATCATGTGACCGATTTCACAACTATAAACGTCTACCCCAGTTGCTGCGAGGTTCTGATGGACATTTTGCCGTGCGATGAGCGAGTGCGTTGACATCTTGATTTCTTTCCGTGTCATGTGATCATGGCGCAATTCAGCAACGACGGCGGTGGTGCAGGCGCGGAGGGGTGGTTGGCCAAGTACGCATTCCTGGCGGTGGACGGCAGGGAGGACTCCGCGCACGCAGCGGAGCGGGGAGATGCGGGGACGAGGGGCGCGGAGGCGGAGGCGGAGGCGGAGCGAGGGCGGAGGAACACGGTGGAGGTGGTGGCGGCCCTCGCGCTCGTCGCGCACCTGTCTGGCGGTGTGTTTCCGTTCCTGTCCCCTTGCACCGCTCTGCACCCATGCACGTGTCTGCTGCTGTTAATGGGTCCCACTTCCAACCACCGCCATGCTTCACAACCGCCATGCTTCACAACCGCCATGCTTCACATTCTCGTTGCGCTCCCACGCCACGCCTCTCCGTTCTTCTCAGGCAAGGCGCGCCACTCCCCGGCGGCATGGCAGCGCAAGCTGGAGCAGCTTCTGCCGCCACACGCATTCACTCTGCACGGGAGAGTGGTGGTGGTGGTGGTGCCAACGCGCGAGCAACAGCTCGCAGCGGAGAGGGCGCGGCGCAGGCTGCAGCGGCAGCAGGGCGCGCAGGGGGGGGATGCAGCGGGCGGGGGGGGCCGGTGGAGGTGCAGGTGGTGGTGGCGGGGCTGTCGCGCCTTCCCCGTGGGCTGCCTCCGTGCGCCTTGGCGCTCGTCACAGCCGTGTGTGCGCCGCCCTCCGCTGCACCCACTGCCTCAGTGTCCTCTCTCTGGCCGCCCTCCAGGTGCGTCGCTCCTCCTGTTCCATATCTCGTATGCCGCATTCCCCATGCCCCATGCCCCGTGCCCCATGCCCCATGCCCCATGCCCCATGCCCCATGCCCCATACCCCTATCTTATGCATGAAACCCCGTGCGCCAAGCAGCTTGCCAACACACCCGTTTACCAACCATTTACTCTCATGCACCAACCATTTACTCTCATGCACCAACCATTTACTCTCATGCACCAACCATTTACTCTCATGCACCAACCATTTACTCTCATGCACCAACCATTTACTCTCATGCACCAACCATTTACTCTCATGCACCAACCATTTACTCTCATGCACCAACCATTTACTCTCATGCACCAACCATTTACTCTCATGCACCAACCATTTACTCTCATGCACCAACCATTTACTCTCATACACCAACCATTTACTCTCATGCACCAACCATTTACTCTCATGCACCAACCATTTACTCTCATGCACCAACCATTGACTATCTCTTCTGTTCTTGCCTCTCATACCTCATTGTGCACGCGCACCATCACATGTCTCTACATGCACCTACATGCCCATGCACGTCCATGCACCCTCCTACATGCCCATGCATGCTCATGCATCCCCCTACATGCCCCCACATGCCCATGCATGCCCCATGGCGCCAGGATCCACGCTCTCCTTTCCGCCCCAGCGCCACTCATCCTCATCTTGGGCCACCACCCCACTCTCTCAGCCGGCAGCGACACGTGGCGCCAGGTCATTGGCCTGTTAAAGGCCCAAGGCAGGTTCATGGATTTGGAGCAGGGTGGGGGAGCGGTGGCGAGGGCGATAGCAGCGAGGCGGGTGGCAGTGGAGGAGATGCGGTGCATGGTGCAGGGCGCTCGAGCAGCGCCTGCTGGGACCAGCATGGGGGCCGCCTCACCAGACGCCACAGGCTGGCATGACCTGCCATGCCATGGACGGTGGGTCACTGCACTGCATGCTATGCTACCTCCCTGCCATGGCCCATGGGTGGTTGCGTGCTGCCGTGGGCTGATAGATAGAATATGTTGCTCTGACTCCTGTGCTATACGCGTAGGTCATTCTCACCTTCATTCTCATGTTCGCACAGCAGCATCAGGTGTTCTGTCCCACCCTACCCAGCACCATATTCTCCTAGCCTTTCCCCTCCTTCTCTCTGCCGGCAGGGCCTGTTCTCCCCGTTGTTTGGGGAGGCCTTGCAGCGAGCGGAGTCAGTGGAGGTGGTGCTGTGCCTCTGGCGAATCCTGAAGGGCCGGCATGGCGGACGAGACGGCAAGCCCGCCGCCACCTGGCTACCGGCAGGGCCGGAGTGGGCAGACGATGAGGTGCCTCGGCGGGTGTTGAACGACATTGTGCATGTGGACGTGGTCGGCGACCTTTGTCTCATCTGGTCCACCGATGTGTGCCACGAGAGCCGCAAGCAGGCAAGCACAAGTTAGGGGGTCGCCTGCGTGCTCTTTCTTTCTTCCTCATCCCCATCATTGCATGAACTTCCCCTGCTCTCTGTCTTTGTTATTCTTCATGGCTTCATTTCTTGTGTGGTATGCACGAAAATTACTCGTTGAAATAGGCTTCTCGCCCTGCACAGAACGTCCATCACTCACGTGTCCTCCTGCACGTGCCTCAATCAGGTGGTGCGGCTGTGGGCGTTGGAGTCAGAGGGGCGTGTGCAGCAGAGTGTGCAGCGCATGCACCGCCACCTGTGCTGCTACTCGCCCGCCTACCTGCACTACTGCGCGCTGCACCAGTACTGCCCCTCCTCGCCCCGCCTGCGCGTGCCAGCCCTCCTGCCTCACCACCGCAACATGCAGTGGTGGCCAACACCCTCCGGTGGGACTGCTGCCTCTTCTTCGCTGCTGCCCTTGTTCCTTTGCGCCAATTGCACTCCCCATCTGCAATTCTCTGTTCATCCCTCGCTTCGTCTCTCTCATTGCATCCACACCCCCACCCCCGCCTTCCCTTCCCTTCTCGCCTCCCTCCCCACCCCGCTCCGCTCCCCACAACATCAGCGGACGTCAGCGACACATGAGCAGGTGTGAGCGCAACATCATCAGCGGACGTGGTGACACCGCCCAAGTTCATTGCCCTGCAGCCCGCCGTGGCACTCACGCTGCTGGCGCGGGGCGGCGGTGCGCTTGCAGCGTCGCTGGGCCACCTGCCGTTTGAGGTGAACGCGGAGGAGAGGGCCGCCATCCTCTGCCCCTCCAGCCTTGTTGTGCACGGCCGCTCCGGTGAGTCAATCAGTCGCCTGCTCGCACTGCTGGCTGAGCTGCACCCAGTCTGTGGCGGCACGGCAGCCTGTGTTGTTGTCAGCACATCTCCTTGGCAATCGCTGTCCGTTTCTGCCCAGCGTGCCACCCCCTCCATCATACCAACGCTACCATTTGCAAGGGCTAGAAGAGCTGCTGCACAAAAGTGAAGATTAAGGGCTGCATCTTGCCTTGCCCCAACTCAAACACTCTTTCTCGCTCCCCCCCTTCACCCCCTTCCTCCCCACCCAGGCACAGGCGCGGGCGATGGCACGGGGGTGCTGCGGCAGGTGGTGGTGACACGGAGCCTGCAGCTGTGTGCGTCCATTCAAGCCGACATCACCCATGCGTCCCAGTGAGTGTGCCTCACAGCATCACCCTGCTGCTTCTTTGCGACTGCATGCTGTCGCCTTTTTTGCCTTCTGTGCTTTTGTGAATGGGTATGGGGGGTTGAGATGGTGCGAGTTGTCGAACTTGATGCTGCGGCGAGATTGTGCTGAAGTTAACCCCGTCTCTCACCCCCCAAGGTGGTCATTTTTTGCCTGCCCGGTGGTCATATTTTAGCTGCCCGTGTACGCTGTTTTCCAGTGTAAAAAAAAAAAACATTTAGAACCATCACAGCTACAAAGCTGCTGTTTCCCCTTCTGATCTCTTCTTTCTTTCGCTGCACCTTCTTTCCACTCTACTCGTATCCCCTTCACACCATGCATGCACCACCACCGTGCTGCCATGCCTCTCCTATGCTGCCACCAGGTCGCTCGCTGCACTCGACTCTGCTCACCGTGCCTCGCAGCCCAGCGTGGGCCTCCACAGCAGCACGGAGCAGCAGGAGGCGCCACAGCAGCAGCAGCCCGCCCCGCAGGTCCCGCCTCCGCCTACCGGCGACGGCAGCGCCAGCAGTAGCAGTGCGCAGAGGAAGCACAGGCATCACATGCTGCTGATGCAGGAGGACCTAGAGGCCTCTCTCATGGGCTCCCTGCCCTCATGCATTGCCGCCATCCCCCCCACGGCCTTCCCCCTCGCCCTCACGCTCTCCAGGCTGCTGCGCCTGCTGGACGCCTCAGTCACCCGCCCCTTCCTCCGGGCTACGCAGCGGCAGCGCGAGAGAGAGGTGGCGAGGCGGCGTGTGGTGGTGGCTATCGAGATGAGCGCTCACGGGGTGAGGGAGGCGTGGGAGCAGGAGGAGGGGGGGAGGGCGTGGGGTGGACACGTGGAGAAGGAGAGATGGGAGGCGAGGAATGGCGGGGCACGGGGATGGGGACGAGGAGCAGGTGAGCACAGCAGGGGTGGGCGAAGGGAAGGGCTCTGGGATGAATGGCAGCAGGAAACGGATGAGGAGGTCACAGCGGGGAAGGAGGAGGAGCAGGAGGAGGAGGAAGTGGAGGTGGACTATGAGCGGTTCAGAAGGCAATACTGGCCGCACTTGGACCAGCGGGCGTTGCGGCACGTGGTGGTGGACGCGGCGTTTGTGTGGCGCGAGATCACGTCGCACATCAAGGGCAGCCTGCAGGCCTTGCACGCGCTGCAGCAGGGCCAGCAGGGCCAGCAGGGCAGCAGCAGCACAGGGCATGTGGTGGTGGGCGAGGAGGAGTACGTGCGCGGCATGGTGGGCAGCAACGAGCGCACGAGCACCATGGGCGAGCGGGACAGGCGCGCCGTGTACCGGCTCTTCCAGGCGTACGAGCGGCGCAAGCGGCAGCGCGGCGAGTATGACAGCGCCGACCTCGTGCTGCACCTGCACCATGAGATCCGCCGCATGCAGCAGCACAATGAGCCCTGGTGGTCCGTACACCACGCTCTCCCCGGCCCGCCGTGGGCCTGCCCTGGAAGCACCACCACCACCGGGCTCCACCGCACTCCACCTGCCAGCACACCCAGTGCTCCATGGTCGGCGTCGTGCTGTGGCCCTTGCGCTCCCGTGTTCCACTGTGTGTCGGTGGACGAGGTGCAGGACCTCACTCAGGCGCAGCTGGCGCTGCTGCCTCTGCTGTGTGGCAATGTGGCCTCGGGGTTTGTGTTGGCGGGGGACACGGCGCAGAGCATCGCACATGGCGTGGACTTCCGATTCGAGGACCTTGCCCGGGTGGTGTACAGCGAGTTTCTGCACAAAGGGGATGGGACTCGGCAGGATCGGTGGAGGGAGGAGCGGCCACGGAGGCAGCAAGGCTGGCAATGAAAGGAGTACGGGGAGAGAAAATGCGGCGGCTGGCAGCAGCAGCAGCAGCAGCAGCAGCAGCAGAAGCAGCAGCAGCAGCAGCAAGGTGGCAGGGGAGGCGGGCATGAAGGCGCTGCCGACGTTCCAGCTGGTGCGCAACTACCGCACGCACCGCGGCATCATCCGTGTGGCGTCCACCGTGGTGCGCCTGCTCACGGCCTTCTTCCCCACCGCCATCGACCGCCTGCACGCCGAGACCAGCGTGGTGGACGGGGCTGTGCCCATCATGGCGTGCGTGCCGCCTGAGTGGAAGACGCACCTCGCCCAGGGCATGCCGCTCAGCGCCACTCAGGTTAGCTCAGCCCTCCTCCTATTTGTGCCATTACGAACATTGCTACGGCGAGTTCTCTTCTGCAATGCACTTGGTGCTTGAGCTAGCAACTATGGTTACGAGAGGAGTCACCCCTTGTTTCCGTTCTAATCCCTGTCCCATGCGTGTGCGTCACCAGGCCATCATCGTGCGCAGCAGCGAGGAGAAGCGGCGCCTCTTGGCGCTGTTTGCAGCAAAGCCGGTGGTGCTGACGGTGGAGGAGTGCAAGGGTCTCGAGTTCCAGGTGCGCGCCTGCCTGCCATGCTCGGGGTTTGATTCACCGGCAATGCGGCATGCTGATGACGTGTAGGGTGCTATTGGTGAATGAGTGATGGTGGACAGACAGGCTGTGCTTGCATAGAACCGAGCCACAGATGTTGAGAGGTGTAGAGCAATCTGCTGCTTTCTGGATTGTGCGGCACGGGTGTTGCATCACCGTGCGTGCATGTCATGTGAACTTGCACTGTCGCACCGACAGCTGCCTCTCCTCCACCACACACCATCGTGCCCAGTGTCCACTCAACCTCTCCTCTCCTCTCTTCCCCCCCACCTCGTCCAATGCACAGGATGTGATTCTCTTCAACTTCTTCGCGTCGCCGCAGTCCACCACCCCATGGGCACTCCTCTACACATACATGCGCGATGCCGGCCTGCCACTCGCTGCGCTCTCCCGCTGCTCCTGTGCTACCAGCAGCAGCCGCAGCATCAGTGAAGGCTGTTTCTGTGGGAAGGGTCAGCAGCAGCTGCTTCAATTCGACGAGCTCAAGTGAGCCTCGCTCGCTGCTGTCGCTGCCAAGCCTACACGCAGATTCAGCTGTGCTAACGGTCACTGTGCTCTCTGTGCGTGTGTGTGCGCGCTTGCCTGTTGTGGTGCATGCAGGCACTGCGCGCTGTGTGTGGAGCTGAAGCAGCTGTACGTGGCAGTGACGCGCGCCAAGCAGAGGCTCTGGGTGCTGGACGAGGAGGCCACTCCAAGCGATGGCCATAGCCATGGCTATGCTAACAGTGACGGCCGCAGCAGGGCGTGGGGAGTGGGCAGCAGTGCGCCCATGAGGGACCTGTGGCACGCCCTGGGTGTGGTGGCGGTGCGGCGAGGCAGCGAGGTGACGCCCGAGTCGGTGAAGCGCAAGCCAGATGAGGACGACTGGCACTCCCGTGCCTTCACCGTCAGTCTGCTTTTCTGCCCTCTCCATCTTTTCTGCCCTCTCCATCTTTTCTGCCCTCTCCATCTTTTCTGCCCTCTCCAGGTTTTCTGCCCTCTCCATCTTTTCTGCCCTCTCCATCTTTTCTGCCCTCTCCATCTTTTCTGCCCTCTCCATCTTTTCTGCCCTCTCCATCTTTTCTGCCCTCTCCATCTTTTCTGCCCTCTCCATCTTTTCTGCCCTCTCCATCTGTTCAGGGCTCTCTCTTGTTTCGCGCAATTTGGCCTGGCTTACCTATTGTGCTGCATTGCATCCTTCCATCACCAACTCACCCACACTCGTTGTCTTTGTGTCTCAACCTTGCGTCTCCCCTCCCCGCCGTGCAGTTCTTCCAGAGGGGAGACTACGAGGCAGCGCAGGCGAGCTATGAGCGAGCGGGTGACACGGACAGTGCGCGCTTCGCCCATGCCATGCTGCTGTACAATACTGCCCTGGCCCGCATGCACCCACACCCACTCGCTGACATGCCTTCCCCGCCACCGTCCTCACAACATGCACATGCGTCGCCGCCGCTGCTGCCAGCTGTGCCGCCCAGCCTGTGGGAGCGCAGCCCGTCTGAGCTGCTGCTGGAGGCGGCGCGCACGTTTGAGGAGATCGGGAGGAACGCAGAGGCGGGGCGTGCGTATGTGAAGGCGAGGAACTACGTGGAGGCAGGTACGATACGAGATGGTGGGGTGGGAGGCAGGGCTCCTTGTTGGATGGCCATGGACACGGACATGTGAAGTAGTGCTTTGGGAAGCGCTGTGCGAGTGGGCTCGTTGCGAGTGAGCCAGTATTGCACATGTCTACTCATGCTCTTGCTCTCCCTTCATTGGTTGCCCCTCTCCCCCCCCCACCCCCCCCCCCCCCTCCTGTGCCCGCCCTGCCTGCCAATGCGAGTCTATCTGCATGCATGCCGGCCCCCGAAGCACATGGACGCTGCGCGCTGCTACCAGAAGCTGGGTCGGTTCGCGGAAGCAGCTGATTGCTACAGTGCAGGCGGCGACATGCACAGTGCTCTCCTCGTGTGCTTGCGAACTCGCATCTTCCAAAAGGGCCTATCCCTTCTGGACACCTGGCAGCCACCAGCATCTACGTCAGCAGCAGCAGTGCAGGGGGGGCTGCAGGTGGTGCAACTGAGAGGATGGTACGTGGTGGAGTGTGCGCGGTGGCATGAGAGGCAGCGTGAGTACGACCACATGCTCTCCTTCATCCGCCTTCACCACTGCCTGCCCACCAAGCGGGCCTTCCTGGAAGCAGGGCGGCATCTGAGGCAAGTGGCGGCACTAGAGGACGAGCAGGGCGACAAGAGCCGTGTGCCGGGGCTGCTGCAGAGAGCAGGTGCGCTGCTAGAGGCGGCGTGGTACTTGTGGCAGCAGGGCTCGAGTGGGCGCGCACTCGTGTGCTTTGCTCGCCACTTGCACTGCCGCTTGAATGCCGCCGGGCGCGGGGCGTTGCGGGTGGGGATGCGGAAACGGGCAGGGGAGAGGGGGAGGGGTGGCGGAGGCGCGGAGATGAGCGGGGAGGAGGTTGAGATGGCTGGGAGGCTGAGGGCGGTGGAGCGGTGGAGCTTTGCTGAGAGGGACGCGTGTGGGGCGAGCGACCTGGCATGGGCGAGGGTGGAGATGAGCGTGCTGCTGCTGGTGATGGCCCATGATATTGCCACTCACACTCACACTGACAGTGACGCTGCTGCTGCTGTGAGAGGGGATGATGGTGATGGCTGCCAGGCAGCAGTGGGTCCCAGGGCGGGTGGAGAGGGAGCGGCAGTGCAGTGCAGGGCGGGTGGTGAGATGGCTAGGGTGAGGGATGTGGAGTGGGAGGCGCGCTTGTCTCGCGCATGGATGGCTGTCAGGCAGGGGCAGGCCGTTCCAGCTGAGCTTGTAGGGAAGTGCACGGGCGCGGCTGGTGCAGAGGCAGGGAATGACGGTGGCGGTAGAGGCGGAGAGGGCGGGCGAGATGGGGCGAGTGGGGGGATTGCGGTGTGGTGGGCGGCCGTGAATGTTGGGGAGGAGGAGAGGGAAGAGGCGGAGGAGATGTGGCAGGGGAGGGACGTGCTGAGGAAGGGGCGAGAGCAGATGGAGAGGGAGAAGAAACGAGGCGTGGCAGGAGGGTTGGGTGTGAAGGAGGTGAGGAGTTAGTGGAAGGGGGCAGAGCAGGTGCGAGCAGAGGTGCTGCTGGCATCTGCGGGTGTGCAGGTGTGTGTGCGCATGCTGCAGTGCGCCCAGGACCACCTCTCTTCATGCCTGGCGCACTTCCACTCTGCCTTGCCCTCCTCCTCGCACCACGTGTGCTCTCCTCCACATACAACACCATCCACTGCTGCTACCCCTGCATCACCTTCAGCGTCTCCCTCTGCTGCCAGTACCGCCAGTGGTGCAAGGGTAGTCGCAGCGCCAGCAGAGGAGGCAGCGGTGCGGCAGGTGGGTCAGGAGACTTGCACGCCCCCTCCGCGGCCCATCGGCCCTCTCCAACGAACGGCAGCTCTCTGGTTCTACCGCTGGCTGTCCCGCCTCTCCGCCCTGCTGTCTGCTCTGCGCCACCTCCACGCCCTGCCCGCTGCTGGCCCGCACCTGCCCCGCCTGCACGGCGCCTTCTCCCTGCTCTCCTGCTCCTTCCACCGCCACGCCCTCACCTCGTGCTGCCACGTGGACGACGTGTCGCTACCGTGGGTGCCAAGGGGTGATGTGCGGAGAGTGGCGAGCAGCGGGGCGAGTGGGGAGATGGAGGGGAGGAGGGCGGTGGAGATGGTGGAAAGTGCGTGGGAGAGGGAGTACGTGAGCATGTGGAGGGAAGCACAGCAGGTGGAGGGAAGCACAGCAGGTGGAGGGAAGCACAGCAGGTGGAGGGAAGCACAGCAGGTGGAGGGAAGCACAGCAGGTGGAGGGAAGCACAGCAGGTGGAGGGAAGCACAGCAGGTGGAGGGAAGCACAGCAGGTGGAGGGAAGCACAGCAGGTGGAGGGAAGCACAGCAGGTGGAGGGAAGCACAGCAGGTGGAGGGAAGCACAGCAGGTGGAGGGAAGCACAGCAGGTGGAGGGAAGCACAGCAGGTGGAGGGAAGCACAGCAGGTGGAGGGAAGCACAGCAGGTGGAGGGAAGCACAGCAGGTGGCGGGAAGCACAGCAGGTGGAGGGAAGCACAGCAGGTGGAGGGAAGCACAGCAGGTGGAGGGAAGCACAGCAGGTGGAGGGAAGCACAGCAGGTGGAGGGAAGCACAGCAGGTGGAGGGAAGCACAGCAGGTGGAGGGAAGCACAGCAGGTGGAGGGAAGCACAGCAGGTGGAGGGAAGCACAGCAGGTGGAGGGAAGCACAGCAGGTGGAGGGAAGCACAGCAGGTGGAGGGAAGCACAGCAGGTGGAGGGAAGCACAGCAGGTGGAGGGAAGCACAGCAGGTGGAGGGAAGCACAGCAGGTGGAGGGAAGCACAGCAGGTGGAGGGAAGCACAGCAGGTGGAGGGAAGCACAGCAGGTGGAGGGAAGCACAGCAGGTGGAGGGAAGCACAGCAGGTGGAGGGAAGCACAGCAGGTGGAGGGAAGCACAGCAGGTGGAGGGAAGCACAGCAGGTGGAGGGAAGCACAGCAGGTGGAGGGAAGCACAGCAGGTGGAGGGAAGCACAGCAGGTGGAGGGAAGCACAGCAGGTGGAGGGAAGCACAGCAGGTGGAGGGAAGCACAGCAGGTGGAGGGAAGCACAGCAGGTGGAGGGAAGCACAGCAGGTGGAGGGAAGCACAGCAGGTGGAGGGAAGCACAGCAGGTGGAGGGAAGCACAGCAGGTGGAGGGAAGCACAGCAGGTGGAGGGAAGCACAGCAGGTGGAGGGAAGCACAGCAGGTGGAGGGAAGCACAGCAGGTGGAGGGAAGCACAGCAGGTGGAGGGAAGCACAGCAGGTGGAGGGAAGCACAGCAGGTGGAGGGAAGCACAGCAGGTGGAGGGAAGCACAGCAGGTGGAGGGAAGCACAGCAGGTGGAGGGAAGCACAGCAGGTGGAGGGAAGCACAGCAGGTGGAGGGAAGCACAGCAGGTGGAGGGAAGCACAGCAGGTGGAGGGAAGCACAGCAGGTGGCGCGCACTGGAGGTGTCGATTGCTCTTCTCGCCTGCTCTCTTGTCTGTGTGTGACCCGTGCTCTATTTGGTGCATGCCAGTTTAGTGCATGCCAGCTGGGTTGGGTTTGTGTGTTGGACAACCACTCGTTGCAACCCTTTTGTCGCCACGTGTCCTATTGTCCCAAAAGCCTGTTCATCCCACAGCACACTGTGTAACATGCATTAACAAACCAACTCAGCAATACCATGTGCTCTTCTGTACCCTATACAGGTTCTACGTGCATCCACTCTCAACTCCTCAACCCATGCCTCAGCAGCGCCCAGAACCTCAGTCGCAGCACATGCACCACTCTCCCCACACGCTGCTCTCCTCAACTTCCTCCCGCTCATCGAGCATTCCCTCTCACTCCTCCCTGTCACCATGTTCTCCTGCTCCCGCTCCGCCATCCTCCCCTCCCACACTGCCACCCCTCTTCACCACCTCTTCTCCTCCCTCCTCCTCCACCCCTTGCCTGTCAACCGTGCCTCTCCCCCCACCCGCGATGACCACAAGCCTGCCCGCCCATCCTGGCCGCACCACGTGTGCCACGCGCTGCTGCACCCCACGCTTGCCGCGCTGCTACTCCACGACCTGCCGGCACAGGGACAGGCGGCCAGAGCGTATGACAGCAGCAAGGCAGGTGGAAGCAGACAGGGGTATGGCTGGGGGGCTGGGGAGGTGACCAGAGGGGATGGGGAGGGGCAGTGACGCACGTGCGGGTGAGGTGAATCATGGGCCGTTTGCATTGGGGAGAGCCGAGCAAGCAGCAGCAGATGCGCCTGTGCCTGTTGCCCAGTCATGCTGGCATGGAGATGTGAATGTGACAGAGGAGGACGCATGGGGAATCACGCTGCTGTTCCTCACATGCATGCTCAATCCGCATCCCTACAGCGGCGGATCAAGGGACAGGGGGTTGGTGGAGCTGGAGGCACGCATGTGCGTGGCGTGTGTGCGGGGCAACCCTCTCATGGCTCCCTCCATTGACGGGCTCACTCACGCCCTCTCTGCCCGTGCCTTGCTGCATCAGGCGTCGCCCCTCCCCAACGTGCATGGGGACTCTGGCAGGCTGCTCCACTTCCCCTGGAAGTCCTCCCTGCTGCCACTTGCCCCGTCACTTCCTCCTGTTCCCGCCATCCCGCTCCTCCCGCACCCTCCTGCTGCCATCTTCAACGCCTCACCCCCACTTGCACGCTTGCTGTTTGACTTGCTGCGTCACCTGCTGCCCACCTTGCGTGCCATGCGGGAAAGGGGAGAGGCGCCCACAGGGCCTGGCCGGATGGGGGGAAGCGAATGTGGGGAGGCGATGTATGGATGGGAGCTGATGCGTGCTTTTGAGGAATTCGGTATGGGCATGGTCGAGATAGCCCCATCGCAGTTTCAAGCCTTTTGGAAGAGGTTTCCAAATACAATTGGCCGGTCAGGCAAAGTGTGATTGGCTGTCGAATAGAGCCGGGGAGATAAGACTCAGACCCAAAATCGCTCAAAAGGGATTAATACTGACATGTACACTAGTGTTCGATATTCTGAAATTCTACAATGGGTTTCCCACCGCAAGGCAAAGGGTATCAGATTTCAGACTTTTACCAGTCTAATGTGCCTGATTTTTGTACTTGTGTGCCAGGACTGATGGATCCGACTCTGTTCTGGAGAAAAAATAGAAGCAAGGATTTCTAGTGTAACATTGCTGTTATGTCTGATATCATCAACTTTTTTCTGATCCAACAGTCCGGACGGCAGTTCACGAGAAAGTTAACAGGGTATGGTATCCCTACCTACTCGTCTAAACCTGTCATCAAATAGAACACGATGCGAACTACTGCCAGCCACGCAAGATACCCTGTAATCCTTCGCCCGAACGGCCGTCCGGTTCGGGAAATGGTTACACCCAGCAGATGACAGTGGGTGTTGATGATGACGATGCGCATACTGCATATCCACCCAGCAGATGACAGTGGGTGTTGATGATGACGATGCGCATACTGCATATCCACCCAGCAGATGACAGTGGGTGTTGATGATGACGATGCGCATACTGCATATCCACCCAGCAGATGACAGTGGGTGTTGATGATGACGATGCGCATACCGCATATCCACCCAGCAGATGACAGTGGGTGTTGATGATGACGATGCGCATACTGCATATCCACCCAGCAGATGACAGTGGGTGTTGATGATGACGATGCGCATACTGCATATCCACCCAGCAGATGACAGTGGGTGTTGATGATGACGATGCGCATACTGCATATCCACCCAGCAGATGACAGTGGGTGTTGATGATGACGATGCGCATACTGCATATCCACCCAGCAGATGACAGTGGGTGTTGATGATGACGATGCGCATACTGCATATCCACCCAGCAGATGACAGTGGGCGTTGATGATGACGATGCGCATACTGCATATCCACCCAGCAGATGACAGTGGGTGTTGATGATGACGATGCGCATACTGCATATCCACCCAGCAGATGACAGTGGGTGTTGATGGTCATGACTCATGGCTCATGGGCAGATCTCCCCTCCCTGCAAGGTGCGACAAAGGACTCAAGGCCCGCCATGTGTGACTTGCATCCAACAAGAGATTCAGTCAGGCCTGCCCAGAGAAAGTATGGGTGAGTGAGTGGGTGAGGGGGTAAGCACGTGCACAAAAGGTGGAGCGTTGAAAAAGGCAGGGCAGGGAAGGAGATAGGAGGCAGTGCAGGGGTGGGGAAGGACAGGAAAACGGGGTGAGGAGGGGACGGGGGGTCGAGATGCACAATCGTTATCCAGCATGCACATTGCAATTTGCTCGTCTAGAAGATGGGAGGGGCTGGTTCTATCAGGGGCCTGTACTTCAATCACAGAGCCAACAGCAGTTACAGTGAACAAAGATTCTAGCAGCAGCAGTCCTCCACATCCCCTCCACTTGCAACTCATTCCCTTCACACCACCCTTCGGCTTTGCAAACTTGGCAAGTACCTTAAGGACTGTCACCAATCACATTGGAGCAACTCTGTGTAAGAAATTGAAATTCCTGGTCTTAATGTGCATCACAGCTTTACAGAAAAGTGCAGACCTTTCACCACCCCCCTGTCCATCGCCTTCACCTCCCTCCTGCCTGCCGCTCACCTTGCTGGAGTTACTGCCACTCACAACACCACTCACAATGCCACTCACAACACCACTCACAATGCCACTCACAACACCACTCACAATGCCACTCACAATGCCACTCACAACACCACTCACAACACCACTCACAACACCACTCACAACACCACTCACAACACCACTCACAATGCCACTCACAACACCACTCACGAGTCACAACACCACTCACAACACCACTCACAACACCACTCACAATGCCACTCACAATGCCACTCACAATGCCACTCACAATGCCACTCACAACACCACTCACAACACCACTCACAACACCACTCACAACACCACTCACAACACCACTCACAATGCCACTCACAACACCACTCACAACACCACTCACAACACCACTCACAACACCACTCACAACACCACTCACAACACCACTCACAATGCCACTCACAACACCACTCACAACACCACTCACAACACCACTCACAACACCACTCACAACACCACTCACACACCACTCCAACACCACTCACAATGCCACTCACAATGCCAATCGCCTTGCACTCACCTTGCCACTCACATTCCCCTCACCTTGCCGCTGTTGGTCCCACTCCTATTGCCGCTGGTCCTGCCGGGGCACGTGAGCTTGTGGGAGGGCCAGTGCGCCTTCTGGCACTCTCTGTTGCAATACGCCACCTTGCCACACCCAGTGCAGTTTCTCAGCTTCACACCACCACCTTCCACCCTCCCACACCCTGCAGCACCGCACACACGCCCCCCACGAGTAGCAGCACCAGGTCCATTTGCAACTGAAACGGATGCAGCCGCATTGCTTGCTGCAGGATTAGAGCTTGGAGCAGCAGGGGCGGAAGAGGCAGCGGGACCGGAAGAGACAGACGCGTTTGGTGCTGCAGGATGGGAGGAAGACGCAGAAGTGGGGGCAGGCCGGTAGCACACCTCCCCTAGCAGCATCTCTCGCAGACACGCCACCAGATTGATCCCCCCTGGCCAAGGCTTCAGATAAGCCGGCTCTTCCCCCTTTTTCTCCTCTCCCTCACTCTTCCCACCACCGCTCCCACTGCTGCCACTCCTCCTGCTGCTGTCCCCACCATCATTCCCAGACCCACCCTGTCCCGCCGGCATGTCTTCACGGAACCTGGGTATAGCAGCTTGGGCCCACATGTCAACGCCCCACTCCCTGGACATGGGCGCTCCTGCCTTCCTGGGCAGCACATCGCTGCTGCTGCTCCTGCCGCACGTCACGTCCAGTCCCGGCCCCATGACCTTGGTCATGGCCCGCCAGGCGGACAGCATGTCAAAGCCCCACGATTTCACCTCAAGCCATACCTCCCCGTCGTCCTCCTCTTCCTCCTCGCCCTCCTCCCCACCATCCGCAACCCCTACCCTGCCTCCATTCCCCCGCTTCCTCCCATCCCCGGTATCTAATACCAACTCCTCTTCATCAGACATACCCATGATGGGCTTGGAATAGTATACAGCCACGCCCAGCAGGAAGAAGAGCGGCATCTGCCGCGCCTTGAGAAGCATCACACGCTCCCTCATGCCCGGATCTTGAGGAAGCTCCCGCATCTGCTCCGCCCGATGGCGCAGCGCACTCATGCCCCTCCGCACGCCGGCAGGGCTGCCCTCGTTGATCAGCCTGATGTGCTCCGCCACGGTGAGAGGCGAGCGCAGCAGCAGCGCCTTGAACAGCTGGTCGAATTCGCGGGAGTGCGCGGGGTAGGCGGAGAGAAAGCGCAAGAAAAGAGCCTCGACGGGGTGATAGGCGAAGTTGGCGATGAGAGCGCAGCAGGGCACGTGGTAGATGAAGGTGCCGAGGCATTTGATGCAGTGCGAGCACTTGGGAACCATAATCAAGGGCCCGAGGAGGGCCAGAAGAAAATCCACATCGGCACGGCAGCGAATGATGGGCAGGCGGGGTTGCCTGGAACTGGAACCTCCTTGCCCCATCATCCCACGCCTTGTGATTGTTTCGGCCTCTTCTTCCACCTTCTTGCCGCCACTGCCCTTCCCTCCTTTCCCCTTCTTCCCTCTACCCTTCCCAGCCTTACCCTTCCCTACTGCACGTTGCACAGGCTCTGATGACCCCTGCTCACCCTCCTCCGCTGCCCCACTCTCTTCAGTCACCTCACTCTCCTCTGTTGAGCCACTCTGAGTGCCCCTCTCCTCTCCCATCCCACTCTCCCCCACAATGCCAAGTCCAAAGCAACGGGCACTCGGGTCGTCGGGAAACTTCACAGCAGCTTCATCGCCATGCGGCCACTCATCCCACTCCAGGGAGAAGCCGCTTCCCTCGAGAGGCTTGGGGATGGCGCCGAAGCTGAGCAGCAGGCTCGGAAGGTCCCGAAGCGGGTGGCGCATGGGATGGGCAGGACCTTGCCCCGAGGGTTACCTTTGAAGCAACGCTTCTCTGAGATGAAATCCGAGCCGTAGACTCGGACCCACTGCAACATGCAAGCGACTCGGTAAGTTAGGACAGCCATAGCGGGGTGGGTGTTCACAGGTACGAGCCCAGGGGCGAGAATGGCACGGGATTGAGCCGCTGCAGTGGACTTTTGAGATGCCTCATACGTTGTTGCAGTGACAGAAGGCAAGGTGGTGACAGCAGTGGCGGCAGTAGAGCCAGCAGTGGAGTCGGAGGGTGCGGAGGAAGAGCCAGGCGCAGGAGCAGCAGTGGTGGCTGCACCAGTGGCATCTGAACCACTGCTTTTACACACTCTCCCCCTCTCACCCACCTCCCTTCTCAGCCTGTTCCTGGCCTCATAAATAGTGGCGTTTTCCACTTTGGACTTGCTAGCGTTGTTGCCATCCACCAGCAATGACTGGTCCTCGTAGTGCTCTGGCAGCGACAGCACTGACGCCACTGCCAGCGCGAAGTCAGTGCCACCCACACCACTCACATACATGCCCCTGGGAATATCCCTGCTTTCCATGCTGCCACTGCTGCCAACCGCATCACCACCACCAGCACTGCTGCTACTGCCGCTGCCACCACCGCAGCCGCTGCTGCAACTGCTGCCACTACCACCATTGCTGCCGCCACCTACGTTGGCAGATACGAGTATCACGTATAATACGCTAGCGTATTATACGCTGGGTATATACGCGGTACGCTAGGGGTGGCGTACTGGTGATACGTAAAAATACGCCGGGCGGGCAGGTAAAACTTTTTTCCCGGGCAGGGCTAAAAAAACCTGTTTCAGGGGGGCGGGTTATGTTTCCCAAAAACACATGTTTTTTAATTTCATAATTATCCAGAGATACATCTTTGGGGCTACTTCTCCCCACCCCATACATCCCCACCCCACCCTCTAGCTAGCCTCCACACAGCCGAGTTCCTTGCGGGGCTTTTCCAACACCACCCCTGCCCCATACTCATCCGCCAGAACTGCATCCTCTCCTTCCCCCCCCAGGGCGATATGCGACTGCGCGGTAACAAATCGCCAAGTCGCAAAACCTTCGCGATTTTTTTCAATTTCGATTTTTTTTTTTTCGGCGGGCTGCCCGGGCGTATTTCCAAGAAATACGAGCGTATTAGCGTACCACGTATATACGCAAGCGTATATACGTGGTACGCAACCCTGCCCAGGGCGTATCTGCCAACGTAGGCCGCCACTGCTGCCACCGCCCCCCTCACTGCAGTGGCTGCACCGGAACTCCCGCCCTTCCCCCCCTTCCTGCTCCAGAATCCAAGCCATGCCATCCACATACCTCTCCCACTCACGCCCCTTCAAATTCTCCCTCCACTGCCCGCCGTGCCCATCCCCACCACCCTCACCGCCACCACCCACTGGCCCCTGCCTGCCGCCATCTTCTCCCCCATCCTCCTCATCCCCTGACCCGCGCCCAGCATTGCTTCCCCATATGCCTTCCGATCCCCTGCCACCGCCCATCAGCCGCATCGCAGCCGTTGCAGCCGGCCCCGCATTGCCCAAAGCCGCAGCTTTCTTCCCCGTTCCTCCCCTCCCCTCCTCCTGCCCCTTCCCAGCCGCCTTCTCCGCCCCCCCTGGAAGCAGGTGCTGCAGAAAGTACCCAAACCCCTCTTGCAGGTCAGCGCTCTCTTTCACTCCCAGCACCTGCACCAGAATGGACGCGAAGCAGTCCGGCTGTGCGTGCCTGCCAGCTCCCAGTGCGGTGACGATGGCGGTGAATGTCTCAGAGCGATCCATGTGGCTTTTCCACAGCGTTGTGACGCGCGGGGACCTCGCCACCAGCACAAGGAAGGCCGCGAAGCTCACAGCACGGCGGTACGCAGCCCAGCAGCCGCTGCAGCGCCAGCAGCACGACCACACTGGAGCAGCAGGTTGAGTATGGGCAGGGGCAGCAGGGGAATCCCCGGCAGAACCTCCATCGGCCGCTATAGAAGCTTCAGCATAAGATGTAGCAGGCGCGGTAGGAGCAGAGGAAGCTGCAGCAGCAGGTGTGTAGCCCAGGATGGCAGGCAGGCGGGATCGGATCTTCCCCAGGTCCATGAGCACGCCCACACGCGGCTCAGCCAGCCACTCGAGCAGCATGGCCTGCACGCACAGCAGCGGCGCCTGCTCGCACTTCCACACCAGCTGCTCGCGAGGCGCCACCCCCTGCTGTCCGCCTTGCCCCCCCTGCTGTCCCCCCAGCCGCTGCACGGGAACGCTCCAGGAGAAGTCAAGCATTGCCCGGGAGGGCCGGCTCGGGGGAGCGGGGGGGATGGCGGGCGACTGACCGCGGTGCAGGTGCAGCAGGAAGGACAAGGCACTGGTTTTACCCAGAACGTGTTCAGAGCGGTAGGCCACTGCGCGGTCGAAGCACCACGCGCACTCCCCCCCGTCCCACCCGCCTCTCACATCCACGTAGTGAACCATATCCGTCCGGCTCATCAGCCGAAGCTGCTCGGGGGCTTCCTGGCCGGCGGCTCTCGCATCTCGCCGCCGTTGCTTTCTGCTCGTTGACTTGCCGGGTTCGAGTATTTGCGCCTCCCATTTCGCCAGCAGGTCCTGCTCGCCCGTCCGACCGGGCTGGTTCCGATGGGCGCGAGCAGGCCCGCTGAGATACGCGCAAGCAGGCCCGCAGGGTCGTCGGGAATTAAACGACATTTATTCGAGACGACGGTGTCGCGATTCGTGACGAGTGGAATGCACGGGCTACAGCGGCCTCTGAGATAAACAGTCCCTGTTTCAGGTGTGGTGAATTCTGACAAGCGAATTCCACTTGCGCGTATGTACTGTCAAACAAATCCAGCATATACAGGACAGATCCCGGCTACAGCAACCTTCTATGGAATTTACAGCATATGTACATCGAATAAATCCGGTAAAAATGGCGTCGGTATGATAAGCTGTCGCTGTGAAAACGCGCTGGAAGATAAGCCAAGCAACAGCCCTAATCTGTCCTGAGCAGGTGTGACGCACGGATGTGCCAGCGCTGGGGAAATTCAGACTCGAAATCTAGGAAATCCGAGGTCGCGTTTGATAACCCTGTGCATTCAGTAGCGAATACCCTTTGTCGAGGATGCATTAAAGTGGTGTCACGGGGATTTGCTAACACTGGTAACAAGATATGCTGTTGAAGGCTTGCATTGCACCGCTGCGAAATCAGCGATCCGAACTCCGTCGTGTTCGTCTCAATTCCAAACGAACTGAACCTGAACCAGCCCAGCTTGCAGCGCACCCAGGCAACCCTACGTCCGACGAGGAAACTACCGAACCTGAAATTTGAACGGCAGGTTCCAACATCCTCCCAGAATCCACATGCAGGACTCATATTCCTCGATATTCGGGATCACCAGGTCACATCCCTTAGTAGCAGCGAAAACACACATGGACACTGTTAGCGGTGAGTTTAGCAAGGTTCAAATTTCAACTAGTAACCAGTAAGGTAGCTTCGCCAGTATCTGGCGTTTGGGCATGGCTTTTAAGGTTCGGTTTCGAATACCCACAGGCTTGCTCCCTCGCGGATCATCAGACGACCATCATAGCACGTTCCAATGACAGTCCAGGTGGCAAAAAACCAACGACATCGTCCCACGTGGACGTCCACGTCGCAGTCTCTCCTGAAGAGCCTCTCCGGTTGGTCTTCAACCGACTCTTCCAGTCGCACCTGCCCGACTGCTGCTTGCCGTGCGATACACGTCACGTGCAGCAGGGAGCAGCCACCACTGCTGTGGACGCCGCTGGGGAGAGTGATTCGGCGCGTGGGACGCAGCAGCCGGTCCGGTTCCTGGTGCTAGGGCAGGTGGTGTACCTCTCGCCTGACTCCACTGTGGCGCAAGCTAAGCTCAAGTCTGGTTCGAGCATCCGAGTGCTTCCTGTGAAGATCAAGGACAGCACCGTGCATGGGGGTGGAGAGGGGAAGAGCAAGGACGGAGGTGCTGTGAGTGCTCCTGCTGCTGCGCCTGCTGCTGCGCCTGCTGGGAACGTGCTTCCTGCTGTTCCCGCCGCTGCTCCTCCTCCTCCCCCCGCTGTGGCTAGTACCACTCCACGTCCTCCTCCTGCTGATCTCGCTGCTGCACCAGCTGCCTCACCTACCACCGCACCTGTTGCCATACCCACACCTGCTGCCACACCTGCTGCCACACCTGCTGCCACACCTGCTGCGGCATCTGCTCCAGCAGTGACGAGGCCACGTGGGATCGACTACAGCAAGTGGGACGCCATCGGCTCTAGCAGCGACGAGGACGAGGAGGAGGAGGAGCAGGCGCACAACGTGCACGAGCGTAGGGGGGCGCTGAACACACACACGTCAGGGGGCGGCGCTGGCTCAAAGCCAGCAAAGGCGCCGAGTCTTCTTGCGGGGACTTGTGGGGCGGGCCTTTCAGAACTCAAGGAGGTGATTTGGCGTGCTCACCAGGACGTGGTGAGACGCTATGGTTTCCCAGACGTGGTGGTCAGTAAGGCCCACAAGGCGTCTGGAGGGGAAGGCCGGGGATCAGGGAGAGCGAGGGGTAAGGACGTACCTGGGAAGCTTCAGCTGGTGAGTCGGGAGGACATGGTTCACTATTTGGACGTGAGGGGCGGGTGGGATCTGAAGGAGTGCGAGTGCTGCTTCCAACGCTCTCTCACCCTGGGAGCAGAGCGCGATGTGACCATGCAGAGCCTCACGTTCGCGCGAGCGCTCCTGCAGAAGCAGCTGCCGGGCGCCACGCCCTTTGTGCCACGCCCCGATGCAGTGGACGCGGGCGTGGTGGCGTTCTCCGCGGGCGTGCAGGCGTTTGGAGAGCAAGGCGAGCGCGCATCGCTGGCGTCGCCCCATTCGCAGTTCTCCTGCAAGTATGCTCTCGCGCCCTTCGTCTGTGTGGAAGGCATGCTGCTCGAGTGGCTGGCTGAGCCGCGTGTGGGCGTGCTCATGGACCTGGGGAGGATCAGATCCCGCCTGCCTGCCATTCTGGGCTATGAAGGCTCTGCTCGGAATAAGAGAAAAGGCTCTGCTGCTTCTGAATCTGCCCCTGCTGCTGCTGCTCCTGCTCCTGCTCTTGCTGTCGCCGCTGCTCTTGCTGCCCCATCTGCTGCCTCTGAAGCATGGTCGTGCTGCTGCCGCTGCAGCAGCTGCTGGGCTGCCTACCGCCGTGCTGTCAGCTTCGCTGCCTTCCTTGTGCTCGTGGCGAGGTGGCCTCGAATGGACACCATATGGAAAGTGCATGTGGATATATATGATGCCGTATACCCAGCGCTAGCAGGGCAGCTGGGGGCGGGCCGACAGGTGGAGGAGGACTGTGCTGCCTCCGTGCTGGTGCAGGTGCTGGGGGTGAAGGAGAGCGCTGATTTGAAGGAAGGGTTTGGGTTCTTCGTGCAGCATGTGCTGTCAGGCGGGGTGGAGAAGGCGCATGCGGCGGGGAAGGGGGGTGGGGGAGCTGGGCGGAAGACTGCTGGGAAGGCGGAGGGGAAGGGGGGTGGGGGAGCTGGGAAGCGTGCGGGGCTGATGAGACCGTCGGGGCAAAGCGGGAAGATGGAGCAAGCAATGGGTGCTGTGATGCGGATAGTGCAGATGGGCGATTGCAAGGGGCCGGAGGACTGGTTGCCAGTCATGGAGGAGTATGGAGTGGATTTAGCAGATGTGGCACACCTGGGACAGATGCTCGGGGGCGGTGGTGCGGGGGCCATGGGCATGGCTCTGCCTTCTGACCTGAAGGGAAAGGAAGGGGTGGGTGGGAAGGAAGGGGTGGGTGGTGGTGATCGGAAGGGTGGGGAATGGAGGGAGAATTTGAAGGGGCGTGATCGGGAGAGGTATGTGGATGGGATGGCTTGAATTCTGGAGCATGGAGGGGGGGAAGGGAGAGAGTTCGAGTGCAGCCACTGCAGTGAGGGGGATAGCAGCAGCAGCAGCAGCAGTGTGAGCAATGCTGTGGAAGGCAGGGATGTTCCCAGGGGCATGTATGTGAGTGGCGTGGGTGCCACTGACTTCGCCCTGGCCGTCGCCTCTGTGTTCTCCACACCAGAGCACCGCAAGCTGGGAGCCATGTTCTTTGCAACGTCTCAGAGCGCGACCAGCAGCACTGTGCAGGATGCAGCCATTGAGGAGGCCAGAGAGAGGCTGAGGAATCGGAAACCGACAATTGGGAAGTCAGGGAAAGAGGGGAACGAGGGAGGGGCAACAGGAGGAGGAGCGGAAGCAGCAGCAGCAGCTGCACCAGGAAAAGAGCGACTGGCTCCCAGTGCTGCTGCTCTGTCAGCCAGAGCTGGACCTGCTGATCACAGCAGCGCCTCTGCTGGTGGTTTGAGTGGGACTAGCAGCATGAGCAGCAGTGGGATGCTCAGTCGTGGCCTCATGCCTGTCAACACAGACCCCACCATTGGGCTGCTCACGTATCGCGTTGCTTGCATCTTGCAGTGGCTTCGAATCTACGGCTCAGATTTCATCTCCGCCAAGATGTGCTTCAAGGAAAGCCCACAGGGAAAGGTCCTGCCCATGCGCCATCCGCTTCGGGATCTTCCGAGCCTGCTGGTCCGGTTCGGCGCTGTTGTCCTGCCACTGGACGGGAGCACCCGCCTCCCGGAGTGGGAGGAGTGGCCTGAGGGGGACGAAGCTGCTATGAAGTTTCCTGAGGACTCCAGTGCGAGAAGTTTCGGGCTGGGCAGGGCTGATGGCAGGCAGAGTCGCAGGAACAGCGGGAATGGGGCAGCGCAGCAGAGCAGCGTTCGGGGACCTCTCACACCTGTCAGACCTCTCACACCCCTCTCTAAGCAAGTGCTGCCGCCTCAGAGCGGGGAGTCCCGCCCTATAGTCCGGTGCAGGGCACATGCGGACTTGATAGTGGAGTTTGCGGGATTGGTTGTGGAGGCACCAGCATGCGCGCACTGCAGCAGGTGCATCACCCTGTTCATCTCGCACATCCCCTTGGTCGCTCTCATTGCCAACTTCGCCTATCGCCCTGCCGCCGTCCTTCTCGACCGCTTCCTCTGTGTCTACAAGCCGCACTCTGAGGTGTTTCAGAGCCTTCTCGTCCGCCTGGGGATGGACTCTTCCTTTAACCCTCCCCACAACAGCCGTTCTGGCAAGAGCAGCAGCAGCAGCAGCAGCAGCGTGCGTGCGCTACGGGAGCAGGTGGAGCAGGTGCCGGTTGCCTTTCTGCTCAGCCTGGCGATGCTCTGCGCCACGCCTCTCCTGCAACAGAGCGGCACGGAAGGCGAGCAGAATACCAGTGCTGGAGGGGGAAGTTCTGGGGCTAAAGAGAAGGCGGGCGGCAGGAGGGCCGGAAGTGGGAATTGCGGGGAAGGGAGAGGGGGTAGAAAGGGTGGTGATGTGGAAGGAGATTGTGGGGTGGTGTGGGAGGAGGTGCAGTCCTGGTTCATGGTGACAATGCTCCCTGCCTCTGGCATAAGGAGTGGCGGGGCGGGCTGTGGTGGCAGGCAGGCAAGGGAGGAGGAAGTGAGTGCACGGGTGGACGAGGCAACAGAGATTTACCAGTGCTCTTTGCTGCCCAGATTCCGTGAAGACATGAAACACGGGAGTAGGCTTGGTGGTTTTAGCAAGCGGAAGGGCAAGGAGGGGGAGGAGGCGGCTTATCTGAAGCCCTGGCCGGGGGGAGTCAATCTGGTGGCGTGTCTGCGAGAGATGCTGCTGGGGGAGCCCTGCTACCGCCCTGCCTCCCCTGCTGCCTTTTCCGCCCCTGCTGCTCCAACCACTGGCACTGGTGGAAACAATGCGACCGCATCTGTTTCAGTTGCAGAAGGCTCGGGTGCTGCTGCTTGTAGTCGGCGTGCGTGCGGTGCTGTGGGGTGTGGGAAGGTGGAGGGTGGTGGTGTGAAGCTGAAGAATTGCTCTGCGTGTGGCAAGGTGGCCTATTGCAGCAGAGAGTGCCAGAAGGCGCACTGGCCCTCCCACAAGCTCACATGCCCCGGCAGGACCAGCGGCAATGAGAGTGGGACCAACAGTGGCAAGGTGAGTGGCAAGGCGAGTGACAATGTGATTGGCAGTACGATTGGCATCGTGAGTGGTATTGTGATGCACGTTACGACCAGGAATTTTTAATGCCTTACACCGAGTTGCATTGGCAAGTGTGAGAAGAGCGAACTAAGGCAGCGATCCATTGTGGTTGGTGCCATTCCTTAAGGTGCTTGGCAAGCTTGCCAAGCCGAAGGGTGGCGTGAATGATTTGCAACTGGAGGGGATGTGGAGGACTGCTGCTGCGAGAATCTTTGTTCACTGTACCTGCTGTTGTACAGGCTCCTCTCCTGTGTTTTCCGCTGGGCAGGAATCGGCTGGTATGCCTGTGTCTCGGCAGTGACGGGTGTGGTGTAGCAGCTGATAGAATCAGCCACTCCATATTCTAGATGAGGAAATGCTAATGTGCATGTCGGATAACAATTGTGTCTCTCTCCCCCGTCACCTCACCCCCCTTTCCTGTACTTCCGCAACCCTGCACTGCCTACTTTCTCCTTTTTCTGCCGTCCCTTTTCATTTCACCACTCCCCTGCTTACCCCTCCCTCCCTCACTCACCCATACTTTCTCTGGGCAGGGCTGAACTGAAGCACTCTTTGCATGCAAGTAGGTACACATGTCAGGCATTCGGTTGTTTGTCGCTTCTTGCAGGGAGGGTGGTGCTCGTTTTCAGGGTGTTATGTGAATCGCATTGTTGTAATGTGATTCTAAACTAAATATATATTTATATCAAACAGGTATAACAACATTTTTAGACGCAGCTTATCACGCTGCCACAGCCATGTAACACACTGACGAGATGATTACACCTCTGGCGAAATATTGTGGAGTGTCCGTGTGCGTCGTCCGACTTTCGCGAAAATCACAACACTTCGTTACGAGTTTACCCGCCTCCGACACTCCGCCTCACCAACTCATTCCCATCCCATCCATTCTCCCCATTTGCTCTTCTTCCTAGCGAGTGCTCTCTTCCAAAACTGCGACAAAACCCTCCGTTCAACCTGTGCCTTGCTGCTCGTCATGTCGGGCTCCGCACCACCGCCTGTGCCGAGAAAGCCGTGCTACACACGCGGGGAGGCGGTGACTAGCGAAAAAGATGGAAGCACGGCGAGCCGAGCTCGTCCAACTGGAGAGAGTCTTCCGAAACACGTCTGGCCGTTAGCAGTCCGAAATATGCCGCACGGCGGCCAATGCAGGTGTCGAGAATGCGGGCGCCGCTGTGTAGTTAAATACCATGCCCCGCGGGATACTCTGTCAGCACAACACCCAGACGCACCCACATTCTGAGCACTTGTCGACTCGCGCCTCTCGACCATGACGACGCCTTTCGCTCCCTTCCCTGCTCTTCGCCTCGCGCTGGCCCTGCTCCTCGTATCCTGCGCGCTTCTACCAGCCGAATCGGAGCGGGTCGGAAAATCCGGTACTAGTCCGAGGAAACGCGTGGCCCTCACGGTCCCCGCCCACGCGCAACGCAGACAGCAGCTGCAGCAGCAGCAGCAGCAGCCCGCCACCACCGTCGTTCGCGGCGGCCACGGCGGCGCCTCGATCCTCTCAGCCGTCGGCTTTCCCCTCGTCCGCTCCTCCTCCGCCTCTGACGGCGCCAGCACGAGCGCCATGATCACGCCGGCCGGCAGCGCGCCGATTAAGTACCACGGCGGGCCGGTGGTGGTGGGCGCACCGACGGTGAACATTTACCACATCTACTACGGCAGCTGGGGGGCGGGGTCGGGCAAGGACGTGATCGACGCGTTCGTGGCGGCGCTGAGCAGCGACTCGGGCAGCCAGGGCAGCGCGGCGGACGCGAGTGTGAAGGCGTGGTGGGCCATCAGCGCCGCGTACTTCCAGAAAGACGCTGCTGGCGGCAAGAAGAACGTCAGCTCCAAGGTGAGATGAGAAACGGTTGGCTGCGGTTGGCAAAATGGAATCTTGAAGTGAAAAGGATGGCTCGCCTGATGGGGAGCAAGTCTCTCCGCATGCTGTCGCCAATTCGTCTGCTCCTCGTCCTCATGGATTCCTCCTTGTACGCCCTCGTCCATTCTCTCCCGCTTGCACGCCCTCTTGCTGCCATGTGCTCCTGACGCAGGTTCGCCTTGCGGGAACTGTGAGCGACAACTATTCACGCGGCAAGAAGCTGACGGACGACGACGTGCTCACCAGTATGTACCGCTCTCCACCACTCATTCTGCTCGCGCCCTGTGTGTGTGTGCTGCTTCATCTCATTCACCACTCATTCACCTTACATGTGCTACTCGTTCCTTCCTGCTGTATATCACCTCTCTCCCTGCACCTCCCCACCCACTCCACTACAATCACACTCGCTGTCTCACCCCTCCTCCTCTCCGTCCTTCCCTGCCCATACCTCCACCTCCCCCCTTCCTTCCCCCCCACGCAGTTGTGAAGAGCAAGGTGGGGGCGGGCAAACCGTTGCCGCTGGACCCACAGGGCATCTACGTGGTTCTCACCAGCGCTGACGTCACTCTCGGGGGCTTCTGCTCCGAGTACTGCGGCTGGCACACGCAGGACTCACTCAACTCCACGCCTCTGCGCTTCGCCTTTGTGGGGCACCACGGGCAGTGCCCTGATGCGTGCGGGGTAAAGAGCACGTCACCCAACGGCAAGCCGGCCATCGATGCTACTATCTCCACGCTCGCGCATGAGCTCACCGAGGCTGCCACTGACCCGGACACGACCGCGGGGTGGTTTGACGACGACGGCGAGGAGAACGCGGACAAGTGCGGGTGGGACTATGGGAGCACCAAGACGGGCTCCCTGCAGAACGGGCAGAGCTATGAGTACAACTTGGTGGGGCTGAACGGCATGAAGTTTCTGGTGCAGCTCAACTGGGACCGCGTCAAGAGCAAGTGCGTCCTGCAGAACGCCCTCCCCGCTGATGGTAGCGGCGGCGGCGGGGGCACTCCCTCCCCTCCTCCCCCGCCAACTCCCTGCCCTCCCTCCGCCCCTCCTCCCCCCACTGGAGGCAGTGTGAAGATGAGGTGTGATTGCAACTGTGCGAGTGCCAGCAACCCCATGAGCTGCCAGTGCTCCTGCACCAAGACAGGGTGACTTGACTGGTGTGGAGGAGGGGGTCACCTGTGCCTTGTGGGGTGGGTGGACGTTGCACCAGGCTCATCAGAAACTCCATGATGGCTGCTTGATTCATATTGTCTCTAGTCATAGTGGTAGACTGCGGCTGAAGTATTTATTGCTGATTGGTAGTTGCCTTTTTCCCTTAAGTCCTTTGCAGTTTTCGTTGAGTGTTATGTTATTCGTGGGGTATTGGTTTTGCAAGTGCGTACGAGTGTACCGTATTCACCCAGATAGTAGACCCTTGAATTGTTTCCCCCCTAGCTTGGGTTACCGTATTGCTAAATAGGAGAGTTTTGCTCAATCCCGCGAAATTGCGGTTCGTTTTATTTTCGCCACGTGGTATGTCTTCGATCGTGGGAACCGCGATCTGTTTTATTGTTCCCACAATTTTTAAGAGAAATATAGTTAGGCTTAGTGAGTCACATGTACTGCCCTGCCCGCGGGCAAACATAAAACCCGTATTGGAAAAACATGCGTTAGGGATGCATCAACCCGAGGCAAGGTGTTTAGGGTTGATGCCTCCCTAACACATGCCATGCCCAAATGGGTTTTATTTTTGCTCGCGGGCAGCGCCGTACAAAACTTAACTAAGTTTCTCTTGAACTTTGTGGGAACAATAAAACAGATCGCGGTTCCCGCGATCGAAGGCTTGCCACGTGGCGAAAATAAAACGAACCGCGCTTCCGCGGAATTGAGCAAAACTCTCGCTAAATAGTCTCGAAACCTTTGTTGTGTTGTCAGTTCAAACAATCACGTCTTTGTTTTATCCAGGGAACTTTGTCAAACAACTAGTAACTCGTAACAGTTACTTCACACTCCTTCACGGGTTACTCGTCGTACACGCCACCGTCGTAAATAAATCTCCTTCGGCTCAACTCTTTTCCCAACTGATCTGGGTTGGAGCTTCTCGAGGCTCGACTCAACGCCGGCTTTGGAGAGGTGAGCTGGTGGTAGGAGTTCTGACGTTCATTTAGGAGGTCTCAAGTCCACTCAGTAATTCTTTGCTTTCCGCGCTTTAGCGGATCGGTTATAGCTACAAACTGGTTCCTCTACGGAGTGCAGGCAAATCGCAATTCTCGATTCCGTCCATTCGCCTGGCCGCAATTCTTGCTTCTGAAATATTAGACAGCTTTTCGCTGCAAGGGAAAGGAGCATAGAGTTTTGCTGTTCGCTACAGAGCGAGAGTCGGTGACGCGAGTTCATGACTTCGCGCTTCCTCCCTTCCTTTCTCGCTCGCCTCTCTCGGTTCGTCCTTTCCGTCCGGCCTTTGCCACGCGCATCGCATCATAATTCTTGCCCTTAGATCCGACCAAAGAAATCTAGAAACACACTTCTATATGTTTCTCGCATGATAATTCGTGCGATAAAAAACTTGGTGTGACGGTTTGAACCTCTAGGTTTAGGGTCCGAAGGGTTTAAAGGTCAGGTTTTAGGGTTTCACCTCCTCTTCGCAACTCCGATCTTTCGTCAGACCTCCCTTACTCCGTCCCTTCTGTCTGCTGCCTCGCAACTTTGATCGTCTGTATCACTCTTCAACTGCTGTAATCTCGCTTACTCTCTGAATTCCCTTCACTCTCAGCCCTCTCCTCTTCTTCCAAGGTTAAGGGTTGGGTTTTATCTCTTTTCCCTCCGTTCCAAAATGTCTTAGCCCATCTCACATTCTTCTTCTCCCCGCCATCCCCCTCATTAACTCCCTCCAATCTCCTTGGCCCACACTTCCCCCCCGCCCCCCCCCCCCCCCACCCCTTCCCGTATTTCCTTCCCTCTACTTTCATACCAATCCCCATAGTATCCCCCACTCCACACCTTCCCCATCCCCATCCCCATCTCTCTTTCCTCACCCGCCACTCTATGCACCGCAGGCAGACCATCTGCAAGGGGTTTCCGTCCCTTGCCAGCGCACCTTCTGCCGCAAGTCGCGGCGTGCACTTCTGCACCTCCATGGCCCCTGCCCCCGCGCCGTCCGCTAAAACCCTCAACCCCCGGCTCTCCGTCTTAAAGCGCACTCTCTCCATGGACGCCGGACCCGCCAGCGGCGCCGCAAAGCCCGCCGTACAGTCCGGTCACGCGAAGAAGCCACGGGTGAGGCAGATCGTGCGAGCAACAGGCGTGGGGCCTGCAGGGATGGGGACACCCGTCGCCGCCGCCGCCGCCGCCGGTATCAACGGCGCCGGTACCTCCGGTGCTGCGACTGCTGGGGTTGCCGCGCAGACGAGGCAAGGCATGCCCAGCGGTGGCGGCGCTGCTGCCGCGAGTGGCGGCGCTGGTGGCGAAGGTGGCCGTGGCGGTAGGAGGGGGAAGCGGAGGCCGCAGCAAACGAGCGCAGGGTTGAGGGAGGGGGCGCAGCCGCAGCAGCAGCAGCAGCAGCAGCAGCAGCACCGCCACCACCACCACCACCAGCAGCAGCAGCAAGCAGCGGTGGTGCAGCCAATTCGAGAGGTGGATCTAGAGGCGATCAAATCCGTCATCACTGACGTCAGGTGAGCTCGCTGTGTGAGCTCGCAAAGTGCGTTGCGCTGTGCCGGTGTGAGTCTGTGCTGCTGTTTCTGCTGCCGCAAGGGGGGACAGAGCGCAGGGCGAGGAGGGGTGTGTGGGAGCAGGAAGAGTGGGGGTTCCACAGAGAGGTGCTGGTTGTCGGGTTCGGGGCTGGGAAGGTGCAACGCAGGTACTTATGCTCCGTGCGCTGCTCTTTAATCTCCCCTTTCCTGCCGAATTCCCGTTTTTTTTTTCTTCTTCTCCTCCTGAAATCCGTACCCCCCATTCCATCCCCCTCCCACATCACCCTCTCTCCCTCCGTCGTTCACGTGCCCGGCATTCTTTTTACCACAGCACCGCCGCTGCTCCAGTCGTCCCCTTTGCCCTGCTTCCACCCCTTCCACCCATAAACCCTGTACTGCTCCACCTCTTCTCACGAACCCCCCGCGCCCTCCCCCTTAAACCCTCCCCCCACGCCCCCCGCGTGCGCGCAGGTTCGACTCGTTCCCGCTATCGGCGCAGATGCTCACGGCGGTGCAGCAGGGTTTTGGGTTCCAGCTGTGCACCAAGGTGCAGGCGGAGACCATGCTGCCCGTCCTCAACGGTACGCTCCTTTCCGCTGCGCCCCTTGCCCCTGCGGTATTTTACCATGCGCCGCTTGCCCCTGCGCGTTCTCGTTTCTGATGCTATAGATGCTTGGTATGGCGTTTGGACTATTTGCTCCCGCATCCCGCCCTCTTTCTGCGGTGTATGTCTGCACACACACTCGATTCCCCTGAGTCTCCTTCTCTGCTCTCCCGCCCTCCTCCTCGCTCTCAGTCACACACACACACTGCTACGCACTGTTCACGCTCTCATACACCCACCCTCCCCCTCCCTCTCTCTCCCTCGGCGCGCACGTGCGGGTGCACCCACGACCGGCTATCAGGCATGGATCTGCTGGCCAAGGCCAAGACAGGGAGCGGAAAGACCATCGCCTTTCTCGTCAGTTCCACCCACTTCTCTCGCCCTACCCTCTCTCACCCCTCTCGCCCTCCTCCGTCCTCTCTCGCCCTCCTCCGTCCTCTCTCGCCCTTCTCCCCAACCCGCTCTCTCCTCCTTCACCCCCTCCCTCTCCCCTCCCTCCCTCCCTCCTCTCGACCTTCCCTCACCCCGCCTTCTCGCCTTCTTTACTCCTCTCCTGTCACCGCATTCGCCTGGGAACCCCCCCCCTCATCGCGCCTTTCGTCTTCTCCTTCCGGTTCTCAGCACAGCTGCTACATGTGTCCCATCCCGTTGCTAGTCGCCTCAACAGTTATCCCTCCGCTCCTCTCATCTCCTCGCCACCCATCCCCCCCCCAACCCACCCACCCACCCTCCCACCCACCCACCCACCCACCGACCCTCGTTCTCGTGCTACTCGTTCTCGTTCTCGTTTACCTTTGCCTCTTCACCCCGCTCTGCTTCTTTCCTCTCCCTTCCGATTCCCTTCCATATCTTCTTCGCATCCCTCCCTGTCTGCTGCGACCCCGCTCCTTCTGTACTCTATATACCCTCGTTTCGGATATGCCCTCATTTACTTTCGACTGTCACTTCACGCGCCTACGTTGCTTATCAGACTACATTGATGCCCCTCCTGCCCATAACCCTTCTTCTCTAAGCCCCTCCGAACCTCTCCAAACCCTCCTGTCCCCCCTCCCCCACCCAAAGCCCCCGTCCTCCCCTTCCCCCCCCTCCCCCCCCCTGCGCCCGCTCCGACCGTCCCCACTCCCCCAGGTGCCCACAATCGATAGGCTCCTGCGCGGCCCCCCCTCGCCGCGCTTCTTCCAGGGCGGAACAGCAGTGCGCGTGCTGGTGCTGGTGCCCGCGCGCGAGCTGGCGGCGCAGGTGCAGGCGGAGGCGCAGCAGCTGCTGCAGGGGCAGGGGGGCGCGGGGAGCGTGGGCGTGCAGGTGGTGTTCGGCGGAACGGCCATGGGGAAGGAGATCCGCAGGATGGAGAATTCCCCTTGCCAGGTGCGCGGGGGGGAAGGGCGTGGGGCGCGGGGAGGGGGAGGGGGAGGGGAATGGAGGAAAGGGAGGGGGGAAGAGGGGGAAGGGGTTGGTGGGTTGGTTGGTGGATTTTGAAAAGGGGGGGAAGACTTGGGGGTGGCGGGGTGGCGGGAAGGGTGGGATTCGGGAATGCCGTGCTGTGCTGCTAGCTACGAAGCGAACGAACCCCTTAGTTGCCTTGTTGTGTGACAGCGTCGTGTTGTGCTTGTATGGGGTTGAAGAGGCGCAGAGGCAAGGAGTGGCATGGGTGGTGCAGGGAAGGGGGGGAAGGGGAAACGAAGGATTGGCAGGGGGTCAGAGCATAGGTGGCAAGGCAAGGGCGACGGTGCAGGATGGGGATTTGCGTTGCTTGTGGTGAGGGTGAGGAGAGAGAGGGGCGTGGCTGGGGCTGCTCTGATTGCAAGGGATTGGATACCACGCGCACACGCACGCACCTGTTCAACGCCTCAACGCTCCCATTCCGCTCTTCCTGCCAAATGCCACGCTAACCCTTCCTCCTGCCAATCCGCCCTTCTCATATCACTAACTTCACTTCCCCCCACCTCCCTTCCCCTCCTCTTCTCCCCTCCTCGTTCCTCTCGCTCCCTCTCGACGCCCACGCCCTTTCCCCCCGACCCTGTTTTCCCCCTCTCGTCTCTCCCCGCGTGCTCGCTTTGCCCCGGCGCCCCTCGCCCCCTGTGCCCTCGTTTCCCCGCTCCTCCTGCCGTCCCCGCGGCAGGTGCTGATAGCAACGCCAGGGCGGCTGTTGGACCATCTGAAGAACACGCAAGGCATGCAGGAGCGCGTGCAAGGCGTGCAGGTCAGTGCCTGCCCTCTGCCCTGCCCTCTGCCCTGCCCTCTGCCCTGCCCTCTGCCCTGCCCTCTGCCCTGCCCTCTGCCCTGCCCTCTGCCCTGCCCTCTGCCCTGCCCTCTGCCCTGCCCTCTGCCCTGCCCTCTGCCCTGCCCTCTGCCCTGCCCTCTGCCCTGCCCTCTGCCCTGCCCTCTGCCCTGCCCTCTGCCCTGCCCTCTGCCCTGCCCTCTGCCCTGCCCTCTGCCCTGCCCTCTCTGCCCTGCTCTCTGCCCTGCTCTCTGCCCTGCTCTCTGCCCTGCTCTCTGCCCTGCTCTCTGCCCTGCTCTCTGCCCTGCTCTCTGCCCTGCTCTCTGCCCTGCTCTCTGCCCTCTGCCCTGCCACGCACGGCCGTGATGAGCAAGGGAGAGAGAGGAGGCGGGTGAGGGAGGGGGATGAGGGACGGGATTGAGGGAGGGGCGTGAGATGAGTGGTTTAGAGGGCGAGATGAGGCGGGCAGGGAAGGAAGTGATTGCTAGTGTGGTGCTCTTAGTCATTTTGCCGCTCCGCCTTGACCCCTCTCAACTTCCCCCTCCCTGTCTCCTCCACCCACGAATCCTCCCTCGCTTCGCCCTTCTTCCCTCCTTCGTTCCTCATCTTCGTTGTGCACACGATTCTGCTCCTCCCCTTTGCCTCCTGCCCCCCCATTTCCTCCGCACAACCCACCCCCTTCATCTTCTCTCTCCCCCCCCCCCTCCCCCCCCCTCTCTATCTCTCTTTTTCCCCCTCAGGTGCTGGACGAAGCAGCTGACCGCATGTTGGGCATGGGATTCGCTTTCCCTTTCTGCCCCCTGTCCCCTTACTCCCCTCTTCACCCACCCACCCCTCCCCCTCTCTCACGTGTCTCTCTGTCCTTGCCCCGCGCCCCCCCAGGTGCTGGTACTGGACGAGGCGGATCGCATGTTGGACATGGGCTTTGCCAAGGACCTGCAGGCCATCATGGCGTATCTGCCCTCCGCCCGCCAGACGCTGCTCTTCTCCGCCACCATGCCCACCCAGGTGCGCCGCTAGGGGGAGAGGAAAGGGGAGGGGTGGGGATATATGGGGGTTCGCACAGGGCCTGTAGGCGCACCTCAGGCGTATCTGCCCTCCGCCTGCCAGACGCTGCTCTTCTCCGCCACCATGCCCACCCAGGTGCGCCGGCGCCGCTCAGGGCTTGGCTTGTACACGGGGGGAGAGGAGGAGAAACCGGGAGAGGGGAGGGGAGGGGGAGAGGGGGGAGAAGGAGGGAGAGAGGGTAGAAGGGCGCGGGAATGAGGCTGCGGGCGAGGGGAAACGGAGGGGGTTTGAGAGGGGAGGGGTGGAGTGGGATAAGCATGAGCTTGGGGGTTTGGGGCAAGGAGTAGACTGGAGCTTTTCGAGCCACTTCTGTAGACTCGATTTTAATTGGAACGTGTTCCTTCCACCGTCGTCCGTTTGTGTGTGAACGTGTCACTTTGTGCGTATGGTTATGCGATTGTGTGGACATGTGTCATCAGGTGCAAGCCATGTCGAAGCAGGTGCTGAGGCGGGACTTCAAGCATGTGGACGTGGTGGGAGAGGAGGACGCAGATACCAACATCCAGGTATGTTGCCCTCTCTCGCTAACAACCCCTTGTTACCCTCTCACTCGCACCTACACTCTCACACACCCACCCTCTCTCGCTCTCCACGTTCCAACTCGCCCTCTGAGGCCATCCCACCCTTGCCCTTGTTGCCACCCTTCCCCCTCTCGCGCCATCCCTTTTCTGCATTGTGACGCCATCTCACCTCCCCTTTTTTTCCGCCCATATGCATCCCCCTGCCGTCCGTGCGTGTGCTTGCGTGCACGTGCTTGTGTGCTTGTCTCTCCCCTCCTCTCTCGCTCTCTCTCGCGCCCCGTGCATGCGGCACAGGTGAGGCAGGAGCACCTGGTGGTGCCACTGGAGGAGCAGCTCACAGCCATGTACACTCTGCTGCTGCAGCACTGCCAGGAGCAGCCCGACTACAAGGTATGCCTCATTCATTGCAGGCTAGGGTGATTTTCAAGCTGCTGCTGATTGCAAGGTAGGGCCGAGGTCTCACTGTGCAGATGACACATGGATGTGGGTGTGGGGTGATGCGTGCATGCAAGCATTCTTGACTAGCAGACCAGGTATGTGTGTGTGTGTGCGTGCGTGCCTGCATGCGTGCCTGCGTGCGTGCCTGCGTGCGTGCCTGCGTGCCTGCGTGCGTGCCTGCGTGCGTGCGTGCGTGCGTGTGTGCCTGCGTGCGTGCGTGCCTGCGTGCGTGCCTGCGTGCGTCCCTGGGTTCACACGAAGTTGTTGCTGCACACTGATTAATGCTTGTGGCACGAATTATCGTTTGCTCTCGTGCATGGTACCCTTTACATGTCTGCTCGTCTCTACTTCTGACAAAGCTCTAGCATGCGCATTCATTGATCAATGGTGAATGCATGGATGCATGCATGTTATATGCCTCCCCACCACCAGCAGCCCTCAGCCGGTCCATCTTGCGTCGCCACATGAGCCTACCTGCCATCTGCACCAGGCCCACAATGAGCAGCACAGGGCCACAATGAGCAGCACAGGGCCACAATGAGCAGCAGAGGGCCACAATGAGCAGCAGAGGGCCACAATGAGCAGCACAGGGCCACAATGAGCAGCAGAGGGCCACAATGAGCAGCACAGGGCCACAATGAGCAGCAGAGGGCCACAATGAGCAGCACAGGGCCACAATGAGCAGCAGAGGGCCACAATGAGCAGCACAGGGCCACAATGAGCAGCACAGGGCCACAATGAGCAGCACAGGGCCACAATGAGCAGCAGAGGGCCACAATGAGCAGCACAGGGCCACAATGAGCAGCACAGGGCCACAATGAGCAGCACAGGGCCACAATGAGCAGCACAGGGCCACATGACCGCATACCCATCCGCTCCCCTCCTCTCCCTTCCCCCTCCCCCCTCCGCGTCCTCTCCCTCCCCCCAGGTGCTGGTGTTCTCAGTGACAGCCAAGATGACAGCATTCTACGCGGCGCTCTTCGCCTCGCTGCTCCCCGGTGCCACGATCCTCGAGATCCACTCGCGCAAGTCGCAGGCGCACCGCACGCGCGTGTCAGGGGAGTTCCGCGCGGCCAAGGGGCGGGTGGTCATGTTCACCAGTGATGTGTCCGCTCGTGGGGTTGACTACCCTGATGTTTCCCTCGTGCTGCAGGTGCGTGTGGGTGCGGGCTTGGTTGGGTGTGGGGGTGTGCATGGGTCTGCGGGTTGGTGGGTTGGTGGGTTGGTGGGTGGGTGGGTTGGCGGGTGGGTAGGTTCCTGGGCGCGCCCTCAGGGAGTGAGTGCAGCGCATCCACTGCTTGGGGCACACTCTTCCAGTTCCGAGCGGCCAAGGGGCGGGTGGTCATGTTCACCAGTGACGTGTCCGCTCGTGGGGTCGACTACCCTGATGTTTCCCTCGTGCTGCAGGTGCGTGTGGGTGCGTGTGGGTGGGGGTGTGGGTTGGTGGGGTTCTGGGTTGGTTTGGTGGGGGATGGTGGGGTGGTGGGCTATGTTGGCAGAAACGTGCTGTGGGGCGGGGGTGTATCGCGTACATACACCAGCGATATACGAAATACAAAATGCTCTTGGAAAATGCTATAATATGCTCGGACTGCCCGTAAAAAAAAATACACAAAAAAACACACAACCCACGCCTGGGGCGCACTGGGGCGCACTGGGGCGCCGCCTGGGGCGCACTGCACTGCCACAAACACACAACCCACGCCTTCTCACCCCCATCCCCTTGCTTTCCCAACCCCCCTCAATCCATCCCCCCTCTCCTTCCCCCAGGTAGGTCTGCCCGCGCACTGAGCGCAGTACATCCACCGCCTGGGGCGCACGGCAGTGTGACTCACACATGCCACCACTTCTCACCCCCGTCCCCTTGCTTTCCCAACTCCTACATTCCCTGTTTCCTGCTCCCTCCCCCTCCCCCTCCCCCTCCCAGGTGGGTCTGCCCGCGGACCGAGCGCAGTACATCCACCGTCTGGGGCGCACGGGCAGGGCAGGCAAGGAGGGGCACGGCGTGCTGCTGCTGTCCCCGTGGGAGAAGCCCTTCCTGCCCAGGCTGGTGGGCCTGCCTATTACCCCGCACAAGCCTCTGGACCCGCTGAGCGCGCAGTACGAGCACAAGGTGCGGTGCATGGGCGAGTGGATTGGGTGGGGCAAGTGATGAGCGTGTGGGTTGGTAGAGGACATGGGAGCTTGGAGTCGACTCAGCGTGGGCAAGGGGGGCTCAGAATCGCTGCTTATACCTTGTGTTGAGCCTCAGGCCATATTCCGTGCCTGCACTGATGAGCACACACGAAGGAGCCTCCTTTTGTTACATTGCACGGATTCTTCTTACTGAGATCGCCCCTTGTGCCTCCTCTCCACCCTTCCCCTCCCTACCCCTTTCCTCAGTCCTTCCTCTCATCTCCAAATCCCATTTCCTCCCCACTCACCTCTCTCCCGCTCTTCCTCCCTCTCTCGTCCTTTCAGCTGAACGAAGCCCTTTCTATAGTGGAGACGTCAGCCAAGGAGCAAGCATACGTGGCCTTCCTGGGCTACTACAACTCCAACCTCAGGGTGCTCAAGTGGACGCCACAGATCCTAGTGGCCACTGGGAACGAGTTTGCGGAGCTGATGCAGTGCCCCGAGCAGCCAGCCATTGAACCCAGGTTGCTGGGAAAGATGGGGCTGAGGAAGGTGGCGGGCATTCGAGAGGCGGGGCGCGATCAGATCAAAGGGTACCAGCAACAGCAGCAGAGGCAGGAGCCGGTGAAGGGCCGAGGGGGGAGGAGGTGGTGATGGGTATTCTGTTGACTTGTGTGGTTGGTGGTGGGAGGAGGGTGGGTGGGGTGGGGTGAGGGGAGTGAGAGTGGGTGTGGGGATAAGCGGGTGGTTTGTCCTCTTGTTCATTCATTCATTGAAGGGCAGCATCACTCTACAACCATTATTCAAGTACGACGTTACAAAACATTATAATAATAATCCCATCTGTTTTTCTAACTGTAGTAGCTGTAGCAAAGCAACACGATGGGACGCCATGTGGAAGGAACTGGCATTCCTTACTGTACTCAGTGAGGACATAACCAGGGCCACGCATCAGCTAGTTTAGCCTACAATCTTGCCCCGAGCCATTCCCTAGTTGTCCCTGCACCACTTGCTAACCTATCGAGCTTCATTTACACCGCATCCCCGCCTAGCTAGGATCTCCGCTATTACCGTGTCATCCCATCACTTAAATTGCACCGGATAAAGACGCAGGTGCGCTTAATTTTGGTGGGTGCAGCAGTACCGTATATGCTTACGGTATTGAGAAGTTTCATTTCAGGTCATAAAAGTCGAAGCTACCATTCCTCCAGATTCACATCTGCATATCATCTCCCCCCTTTCCTCCCCTTGTCCTTTGTCCCCACATACTCGGCCTTTCCCATTCTCCCCCTCACAACATGCACTTTACTTGCACAAACGCCCACCTCCGCCACACCACCACCATACACATCCACATGCCTCAGCGCCCTCGCCTCTCTGAGCGACTCCGGTAGCGACTTGAGTGCCACGCACTCCCTCAACTGAAGCACTTCTAAGCGCGGTAGCAGGCCTAGGGTGGGAGGGAGGGAGAGCAGGTGCTTGCAGAGGCTGGAGCTCGCCACTCGGAGCGCAGACAGCGAGGAGAAGGAGCTGGGAAGGTGCGTGAAGGAGTCGCATTCGACGATAACGAGGCGAGTTAAACGGCGCAGCAAGCCAAAGGTCTCAGGAAGGGAGGACAATTCCGGGCAGTTGGAGATGCTGAGAATTGTCAGGGAGGGAAGAGCGGAGAAAGACTCGGGCAGATGGTGAAACGTGTTGCACAAGTCGACAGAGAGACACTGCAGGGAGGATAGAGAGCAGAAGTTGCAAGGCAGGGTGGTGAGATCATTGCAGCTGGTGAGAGTGAGCGTGCGCAGGCGAGGGAGGAGACAGAAGGAGGGAGGCAGGCGAAATCTGTTGGAACAATGAACCAAGGAGACCTCCTCGAGGGAGGATAAGCCGGCCAGCGTGTCAGGCAGATAATCCCTCGATCCACCGCGGATACTCAGCTTCTTCAGGGCTGCCAGGCAGCCAAACCCCGGGGACAGGGTTTCCAGACTATGGCACGAATGAATGGTGAGCTCTTCGAGGCGCGACAGCTTCGAAATCCCACTGGGCAGGTGCTGAAGGTAGTTGCTAGCAAGGAACAGGCGGCGAAGGGACGACAGGTCACACAAGGACTGCGGAAGGTCGTCTTTCAAGCAGCAGCCCCTCAGGTCCAGCCACTCTAAGGCTGCCACCTGGCCCAGGTCTTCTGGAAGGGACACGTGGCTGGGAAAGCAGCTGTCGTACTCCATACGTAGCGTGCGGAGGGCGTGGAGTCGCGCAAAGGAGGGCGGGGGGGACGGAACGTGCATGTTGCGGAGGTGGAGGTTCGTGAGGGAGGTGAGATTCGAGAGAAAGTAAGGGAGCATGCGCTGGAAAATATCCGCGCTCTCGGTGCCGCTGTAGTGCAGTTTCAGGGAGTGCAGGCACAGGGCTAGGCGGGAGAGAGAGTGCGGGAGGCTGAGACAGGTGCCACGCAGAGAGAGCGAGTGGAGGTTGGTGAGATGACCCAGGCTGGAGGGCAGGAGGGCGGACGAGCTGAGGCAGTCGATGGAGAGGTGCGTGAGGGAGAGCAGCGAGCACAGACGTGCGGAGAGCCTGCCGCCGCGCCTGCCGCTCCCGGGAGTGCCCATGCAGATACTCAGATGCTTCAGTGACGGGCCGAGTGCGGATTGGTCGGCGGTATCACCTGCCGCACCTGCTGCTGCGGCTGTGGCTGCGGCGGCGGCAGCAGAGGGATGATTCAGTGCCAAGTTTCCGACGAGCGTGGTTAGCTCCCTTGCGTTCTCCATAGCGGCCACCTCGTCAGCTTCCACCCACGACACGTACCCCGCTTTCACGTGCGCCAGCGACGGCAACGAGAAGAGCGCCTCGGGAAAGCGCTCCTCGTGGTCGACACTTGACACCTCGAGCCGCTCCAAAGACACCAGCTGGCTTAGCGGCTCAAGGGACACTTCGAAGTTGAGATAGGTGAGTGTGAGATGGCGCAATGCTGTTGCGAAGGGCAGGTTGGGTGGGAGCGAGTGGAGGTCCCAGCAGGCGCTGATGGTGAGATGTGTGAGCGAGTGCACGGACGCGAGCTGGAATCTGCGCATGTCTTCGCACGAATCCAGGGTGACTTGCTCGAGATTCGCCCATTTTTCGCATGCGTCTGGTAAAGCGCCGTTGAAGTTTCGCAGCTCCAGCCGCCGCATGTGCTGCAGCGCGGCGACGCGAGGCGGGAACTTATCGACGTGCCACGAGCCGTCGACGTGGAGAGAGGTGAGCGAGGCGAGATCGCCGAGCGAGTCCGGCAGGCGCCGCATTTCCGTGCAGTCCGTAAACGAAAGGTGCTCCAGCCTCGTTAGCCGGCCGAAATTTTCGGGCAGGTGCTGCAGCAACGGGCAGTTTAGATAAAGTTCCTGCAGGGCAGACAGACGGCACATTTCGGCGGACAGCGAGCGGAGAGCCTTGGAGCACAGGCGGAACACGCGCAGCGACGACAGCGACGCGACGGAAGCAGGAAGCTTCGTCGTGTGGCCGAGACACTCGCGCAGCGAGAGCTCTTGCAGGCCGCGCGACGACGCGAGGCAAAAGAAACTCTCGACAGCTCTCGTGCCGATTCGAAAGTGCGGCGATCCGGTGAAGCGGGGGGAGCCGATGCTCAAGCGGGCGAGCTCAGGGCGCGCGGAGAGCAGGCCGGGGAGGAACTCGTCGTCGTAGAAATCGACGGCGTTCGCCTCCAGGAAAAGCTCCGTGATGCTCGGCGCGAGCGCCAACGTGCGGAAGAGCGTCGGCGCGGAGATCGCGGGGGCGGAGAGCGTCATCGCGAGGCGCTCGGTATTGCGGAGTTCGCATTCGGAGCGAGACTTAAAACCGCCATGGACGCGCAGGGTGGTCATTAGAAGCATCCATCGCTTACAAACGACCGCGAGATTGCTACGATCGGGGCCGTCCGTGAAGCTCGGCTCGTCGGTCTGGCCGGTATCCGCGGCCACCACTGCTGCTGTCAATTCAGCGAGGTTGGCGGCAGTGGAGGCAGTGGCGGCGGTGGCGGCGGTGGCATGTGAGACAATTTTGAGAAGAATCTCGTCTGGTAGATGGTTAATCGATGTGGCTTGCGCTCTGTTGGCCATTGAGAGGGCAAACAGCTCACCCCTTCGCGCTCGCGAGGTATAGACGTTCACCCTTGCTACTCCTGAATCTCTATTTACGATTGAGTGAAAAAAACTAACAGAAATCTGCCGCTAACTGTGAGTCACCACAGCAATGTTTCCCACTGATGCTGATGCTAGGGGATGCTGAAGCATTTACGAAGCCTCATCTGGTGCCATGCGTCGGAGGCCGCAAAGCCAATGCGGCGACAGAACAGGGCCAAGAGGGAGCGTAGAATCCAAACCAAATGTTGGCCAATCAAATGTGTCAGCCATACAGTCTGACGACAAATGTTCGCGTTACTAGCCCCTGATTTTGTATAGACTGATGTCGTTGGCATTCTCTGTTTCAGGCTATCTGACTACATTGTTAAAGTGTTACGAGTTTCATTGATTGAGCGAGCGAGAATTGAGCTATAGGAGCTAAGGTACAATAAGCTAAGGCATGAGCGAATTGCTAAGTAGCCAACTAAATGGTAACAGCTTCTCCATCCCTTACACCTTGTCTCCAACATCCCATCTCGCCATGCCCTGCTGCTTGTAGAGGCGGCTTTACTCACCCTCCTGGCTTCTGCTGCATGCAGTCAGGCAAAAGTCACCCTGTTTATAAGGGAAGTGTGAAAGGATTGTTGACATGCATATTTTATTTCTCTAGAGAACACAGCCAACAGTTAAGTATACCTACACGCAGCTCTCCTAGCCCTGGCACATTGCCCTACAGCATCCCATCTCGCCATGCCCTGCTGCTTGTACTGGTTAAACACACTGGGCTTGACACACTCCCTCCACACATTGCATCCTCCAGGCTTGTGCTGCAGGCAGTTGGCAAATGCATAACTCGGCCCGTTCCCCAAGTCAAGGTCGTAGAGGCGAGTCGTGAAGCCATGTGCGTTGTTGTCAGCACACATACCCTGTGTGAGGTACAGAGTAAGGAAGAGCCGGGTTAAGAGATGGAGTGGTAACTTGTAACAGTGATTGAACATACTTGATTGCTGTGCGAGCAATCACGGAATTCGAGGAGTTGGCGGATGCAGCAAGGAAAATGCATGTTGAGCTTAAGAGGGAAATAAATGAAAGGCCGGAGTGAACACCATAAATCCACCATAAGTTTCAAGATACTCTGAAGAGAATATGTCCAGCCTGTGAAGACCATGATCCACTCTGCGTTTCAGCTGAAGGTTCCTAGAGCTACGCATATTTTGCAAAGCAACACGAGCTCATTGCAAACAAAAAACTCATTGATGTAGCCAAAGCCACACATTCCTCCCTGCTACTACGACTTTCCACCACGAGTTTTGGGACGACTCAAACTCGATCCACTAGGTTGCACGCTTCCACTATCCCTTGAGGATCCAAACCCACCTGTGTTCGTCGTCGATTCTAACAAGGCCCAGCTCTCCGCACACTCAGACTTGTTTTGAAGAATTAACTCGGTAATTTGCATAGTCGTCGCAGCCTTCTTTACCATTCTTTACCACTCCCCACCATGCCAATCTGTGTACTGTAACACCCTTCCACTATTCTTTCACAGAAACGCCAACTCACCTGCGGGAATCTAATGCCATTCTTCACTCCCGCTGAATTGCCCCAGCTCTCCACATACTCTGCCACAAACACCGCCTTGTTGCGAAGAATAAACTCGTTGGCATAGTCGCACCCATACTTGCCGCTGTACCACTCTCCACCGCTCCAATCCGTGTACTGGTTGCACTCCTCCACCAGCGCCCAGTCAAACAGTCCGGCCATGTAAGCGGGAGCGAGGGCGCCCGCGTTCTTGAGACCCACTGACATGCCGTACCTGATAAATAGAGGGGGGGAAAGGAAAAAACAGGTTAAACGCACTGAATGTTGTACCTGATAAGAAAGGGTGGCAGGGAGGGGAGGGGGGGGAGGGGAGGGAGAGGGTTTGAACAGGAAGGTGCGGCAAAAAGGAAGGGAAACGGAGGTAGCATGTGAGCTCTCCAAGATCCGAGGAAGCGCAAGGGCTAGAATTCTTATAGGGAAGCTTATATGCCATGCCTAAGAAAAAAAAGGTGGTCCCATGTGGTTGCAAGCAGTTGGCATTCCTGGGACAAGATCACGCACTGTGCTGACTCATATGTTTGGTGGACTCATAGCAGTTGGTCTGGAATGTGGAGTAAATGTGTAGATTCCGGGATTGGTCTGGACAGTAAAGTCATCCTTACTAGCCACTGCAAACTTTTCTGTAAAATGCTTACCTTCTACCTGCTTCATCTCCCCCATTTCTAGCCAATCCCATACCAAAATTACCACAGGTCCTTTGGCCAGAAGCGTAACTGAAGCAGCAGACAGGCAGACTTACTTGTGCACTGTATTCGCAATCCACGAGTTGAAGTTGAGCTGGTCCTTTCTTGTGATGGTGAAACGGCTGATGGTTTTAAACATGATATTTCCACTGTATGCATCCACATTGTCCGGCTCTATGCCGTCACACCCCTTGCGCTTGGCCAGCTGTCAAAGGGATGGGACAAGCAACCGCAGGAGTTGAAAGGGGCAAGTCAGGACTTGGACCACGAAAGGCTGACGCAAAAGACGGAATCTCACATTCTTCTCACCTCCAGCTATGCATGCGTGGTGCACAATTTGCACAAGACGCTGTTTGACACTCTTCTTACCTGAATCCGCTTCTCCAGTACTTGACGCACAGCAGTACTCTTCACATCCAGCCACCGCTCGCCCTGCCATGCTTCCGAGCAGTCCGCGTTCTGCCAAAAAGAAACCAAGGTAAACGATGAAGGGCTGTTGTCAAAAAACGAAGTTATGTCGTTGATGACTGAACGAGTCTTCATTATAAAATTTCTAACGCGTATAAGCTATTTGCATTCCAATTCACCTGGCAAACCATCCCACCGAGAGTGGATCTCGGAAATTGGTTGTAGTCGCCGCGATAATCCTCGGCAGTCCCGAAGCTGAAGTAGCATATCACCTTCTTTCCCATCGTTTTCAACCTCGATATAGTGCTCGCCGACACGCTGAACCCGTCAACATCGAAGACCTTTTCATTATGCGACGATGCGTCGAGGTTCGTGTCAGAGATCTGCCAGTAGAAGGACGTTCCCGGCGTGGGAACGAACCATCCGTTGCTCGTGACGTTAGCAGCGAGGCAAACGGAGACGAATGTCAGAGAGACGACAACGCGAAGGCTTCTTGCAATTATAGACATGGCGGTAGGGTTGTGGTGTATAAGGGGTGCCGAGGCGGTACGTCGCCGGAAAGTGAGTCGTGCAGGTAATGTATAAGGAGGCGGAAAAGGTTACTACTTTGTATTGCTACCGCCAGTGCATCTGCTTTATAAGCCTTCAAATAATCTGACCCTTCGGCGCTTCGGCTTGTGTGCCTGCCGAACCGCAGCGGAAAACAGCAATTGTACTGCCAAAGCTACGCGTCGGCCTAGAGGGACCTTCATCGCTAGCATTTGGCAATCCTTCACTCCAATCCTTATGCCACGTGGCGAGGCGCGTTGCTCCTCTGATAATGACGCTCCAGTGAGCATGCTCGTGCTTCGCGATGAAAAAAATCTCCTGAATGGGAAGAAAATTATTGGTGTGGTGGGTTCATGGAGGAAGCTGAGTGCAGGCAGCAGCGACGTTGCTGCTCATTTTGGTGACCCGCCGCGACGTCGTCTGCCTGGGTGGGTATGACGTCGCTCTCCCTTTCCTGTTGCTGCGGCTTGTGATGTCGGGGGGTTGAAAACTGACGCGGAGATTCCAGCCGTTACGGTCTGACAACAGAAATTTCAAAGGGGTTGTAGTACAGTATTTTATTTCGCCTATTCGATACACTCGATAACAATAGCGGATCAATGTGGTCCCCACCTCAGGTTGGTTTCGTTGAGAAATTTGTTGGTCACCAGATTTCTTGCACCTCCGCTTCGGGCCGGATGTGGATCCCACCAGCTCCGTGCTGCGCTGGATCCCAGAAAATTTGCTCCGTGTAACACTCTCCTCCAAGCTGCTCGCGAAATGCGAAGGATTCGGCTTTGCGAATAAATCACCCTAGCTAGACACTCGCGAGCTCATCTAGCGAGATTCCGCGAGCCGGTTACTTCGGCAAGAAAATACTTGCTACATCGCGCAGCCCAGGTTCTGCGCCCTAAGGGCGCGTGTCTTTTGGTGTAGACGTTCGGAAAAAAGGTCGAACTTTTGCAGGTAACCTGTTTCGTTAATCTCGCCAAAACATTCGCGAGGCAATTGTGTGTCCTTGTTCAAACTGTGTGAAAGAAGTTGGACACTGAACTTATGTCGACCTGCGCTCGGATTTTTACGTTTTCATTTATCCAAACGTGTGTTGTTCTGCGTACGCACGAAAATTCACGAGGTTCACGACAAAAACGAGGTAAATCGTACCGGGTTACCGAAACCGGATACGGTCACGAACTGCACCGCCCAACCGGGTAACCTACGAAAGTCTAGCGCGACTCGGGATTTACTGTTGTTGAACTATGATGGTCGAACTGTGTTGTTCCATGCGCGACTCGGACTTGTTGAAGGTGCTCCTCGACCACCATACGTAGAGATAGTCGACCTCAGGTCGACCGAAGTTCAAATGTGAAAAATCGAGAAAAAAACATGAACTTTACCCTAATTTGCAAAAGACACGCGCCCTAAGGAACGGAAGCCATCTGCTGCCTCCCGTCGACGTCGAAAGTGGACGTCGAGAGGAGACGAGAGTCCAAAATTCAACAGACGTAGTTTTTCTTGGAGAGCTTCCATGAAACTCGCTTCTGTTTGCCACGTGGCAAGACGTTCCTTGCCTTAGCTTAGCAAACATGGCTCACGCTCGCGTGCGACTCGTTTCACACGACAGCACACGCCATAATTTCTATATATCCTGGAATTGTACTCTCATTGTGCTCACAAAGAAACCAACTAACTACCACGCTGACGGCACCCTGCTAAGCTGTTACGATTATTACGACTACAATGGCTCTATTTCGCGTTTATCCTAGCATTCTCGCCCTCCTTGCCGTTCTTTCGATGTGCGATTGTGGGAGAGCTAACGGGTGGTATGTGCCGAAACCAGGGACCACGTTCTTCTGGCAACTAAGCGGAAGTGACGGTGGTACTATTGACCGTTCGATTTCCATTTCGTAATCGCCTTTCTGAAACCTTGTTCGTGATTAGCTTCATAATGTGAAGACCCGGCGTCCTCGCATGGTCGGTCACCTGTTATTGCTCGCGCAATGTACCAAAACCATAATGTGCTGTTTGTTCCGTCTTTTTTTCTTTCGAAACCCTCTAGACGTGGATCCAACACACCCGGCGAAGGTCTACACCGTTGACTCCAGCTTGACGGCGAAGAGCATCGCGAAACTTCGCAACGCGGGAAAAGCGGTGATGTGTTACATCAGCTTCGGGACTGCCGAGGATTACCGCAGCGACTACAACCAGTTCCCGAAATCCGTTATTGGGGGACTCACTTGCAGGGTATGGTACTTGATGTTTCCATTTTTATCAGTCCGCAGAGTATACGGTTTTCTTATTGCCTTTTTCAGCGATTCAAGAATCGTCTCGCGGTTGTGACAGGCTTATGTCGAGAAAATGAGTTTTTCTTACACTTTCGTTTTCGTCATATTCGTGTCGAACATTTGCTTGCTGCGTGTGAGCAGAACGAGCAGTGCACGGAGGTGTGGCCTGGAGAGAGGTGGCTGGACATCAAGAGCCCCATCGTCAAGACTATAATGGAGAAGCGAATCAAGGTGAGGCATCCACACTTCCCCTGTGCATCACCTGCCTGTGATTGGGGCGATCGGGTAGCCGGTTACCAACGTGTGGCCTGGGGAGAGGTGGCTGACATCACGAGCCGAGCCACATTGTGAAAGACAATCATGGAGGCGAGTCAAGGTGAGACATGCCAACTTACCTTGCGGAACAGCACCAAACCTGCTAAGGTGTAACACACGGACGGAGCTGTAACATATGGAGCTGTAACACATATAGCCTTTTTTCCGGGGCTGCACCATACTGAGCCATACCATGCTGAATGAATACCCATGTTTACAACCTATGTCGGTAGCTCCTGAAATCTGTCCCACCATCCTCTTTGCTTTCCCACATGTCAGTTGGCGAAGAGCAAGGGGTGCGATGGGGTTGACCCTGACAACATCAACGCGTATTCGAACAACATAATGGCTCAACCCTTCAGCCAATTCACCATCACCGCCGATGATCAGTTCAAGTACAACTCATGGATCGCCAACACTGTTCACAAGTGAGTTATGTCCTCATGAGTCTTTTGCTGCCGGTTCTGTGCTCCTATTGTTGCTGCAAATCCGCAATATGACAATGAGAGTCGTAAACCAGTGGTTTTCTATATAAAAGGTGTGGTGATCGTTCAAGCCATACCGCATTATGCCTCTGGTCGTTAAGAGCGTTGTGTAGTTTCCACCCTCCCCCGCTGGCCCTTTCCCTCTCCCATTGTTACACAAAATTCATTCATGCTCAGTGCTTCCAATGCTCTTCCAAACCTTCACCCTTCCATCCCCACACACAATCCCCTTCCAGGCCCCCTGTCCCCATTCCCCCCCTGCCTTCGTCCCCCCTTTCTCACATGCTCCCTCCACTTCCCCCCTGCCAGGTGGCATGTGAGTGGATCCCAAGACGTCTGTTGCATTTACCTGCGCAATTAACTTTCCAGCCTCCTCCCTTGTATCCCCCTTCCCATCCCAACGCCTTCCTTATCAGGTACGGCATGTCAGTGGGTCTCAAGAACCCCGGGCCGCTTGCCCCCTCCCACATGGCGAACCTCTTTGATTGGGCGATAATCGAGAGCTGCATTTACTTCAGCGACTCTAGCAACAACGCGTGGTACAGCGGCAAATACCAGTGCGATTACTCCAACGAGTTTATTGTGCGCAACAAGGCCGTGTTCTCGATTGAGTATAAGGAGCTCTGGGGCACGTCTGCGGGCCAAGTGAATGGCATCACGTTCCCACAGGTCAGTTTATGATGTTTGTGATGATAGCAAGTACTTCATTTCCAGCATACGGTTAGTCAGACATGTGGTGAGGGTCATTTACTCGCAGGGTTCACCATGCTCTTTTCTGAAGCGGCTCGCTGTTTATTCCCCGTCTTTTCCGAAGTGGCTCCTCTTTTATCCTCCCCCTCTTCTTCCACCTCTCAATCAGCAATGCCCACAGGCTCAACTTTCACCTTGCAATGTCAACTCAATCGCCAACCCTTACTTCTCTGTCCCCACTTCTTCCACCTCTTTCTCTCTCTCATCAGGCCATGTGTGCAATCAGCAACGCTCACGGGTTCAACACCAACCTCTGCAGTTTTTCCCTTGGCACCGGCCCTCGCTACCCCTTTGCCAACTGCCCCCTGCACAAGCCTGCAGGGTGTGATAATGTGTGGAAGGAGTGTGTGAAGCAGAGTGTGTATGCGCAGTACAAGAAGCAGGGCATGGCAAGATGGGATGCTGTGGGGCAGTGCATGAGGGCTAAGAGAGCAGCATGCAGATACAAGGCTTGAACAAGGAGGAGATATCATTCTTAGAACTTATAGTCGGAAGTCAGTGGTGAGTGAGACTGGATCAACTAGTCTTAGCATGTATGAAATTGTACAGTTAGAATATTGCAATTGCTTTTATTCAAGTGTGACCACACGGTAAACGTGCCTGGATAGGTGTCTATCAGCTTGTCAAACTATATGTTTGTTAGCTTGTAGGCTACAGTGAGGTTCACTCTACAGGTTTTAGAATTAGGAACTAGGTGCTAGTAACTAGGTCAAGGGGAAGGGGTACAAGAGTGTCGAGAAAGATGGTATACCCTCTAAGGATAACCCCTACATAGCCTAGAAAGATAGGAACATACCGTATGACCCCGGATATAAGCGCAGGCCTATTAAAAGCGCATGCGCTTATATCTGGAGCAATGCGCTTATGGCCGATCCTCATTTATAAGCGCACCCCTTATAAAACCATGATATATTATAAGCGCATGTGTAATTTTATTTTTAAATCTTTGATAAAAATGGTAACGAATTTCAATTTTGCAGCGAGGTCACAGCCATTTTCGCTTAGGTTGACTTTCGAGGACCTCACATCCTGCGCGTCCAGTCAGCACGAGCTGGCACGCCCTCAAAGTGAGGTGTTACACTGTACTTTGCCTCTGTGCGCCGGCATTGAATCGCTCGCGCGCGATTTTGATCTGTGACACTTTACAATTCCGATTCGATTGAACTCGCAGGAATGAGATGTACAATTTGGTGATTTAAAATTATATATCTGTATTTGTCATTTTATAAGCGCATGCGCTTATATTTTTTACTCAATTATAAGCGCACCCCCCTAAAAAACACTGTTTTATTATTAGCGCAGGTGCGCTTATATCCGGGGTGATACGGTATAATGTTTTGACACACCCCCATAGGTTAAGTAGGGGATAGCGAGACCAAACAGTGGTCACAAGACCAGTCAGGAGAAGCAAACAAGGCAAAGCCCAGGCCAGGGTGGATCTCAAGATCACCACGCAGTCTGAGAACAAGCAAGCGACCACAAGGTCAGTTCACATGCAGAGTTATAAAAGCACAAGCAGTACAGTGATCACAACCAAGCAAGAGCAAGCATGCAGGTATACATACATAGATCACAGTACAAGACAGAGTCAAGCAACCAGCAGGTGAGGCAGGGTGGGCAGAAGCCCAAGAGCAGTGCAGAAACGCTGATGATCACCAGACCCAAGGGCCTTGGTGAAGACATCAGCAGTGTTGGCCCGAGAAGCTACGTAGGAAAGGCGAAGCTGACCACGCTGCTGCAGCTCTCGAGCAAGAAAGTAGCGAAGAGCAATGTGCTTCGTTCTGTGCTCCAGTCTCTGCTCGTGACACGAGGCAAGCATGGCCTTGTTGTCGACGTACAGAACTGGAGGAGAACGAGGCCACTCCCCCAAGTCGGTCAAAAGGTAGGTCAGCCAGCGTAGCTCCTGTGCAGCCATAGCCCCAGCGTAGATCTCGGCCTCACAGCTGGAACCAAGCACAGAAGACGAACGAGTGGACCTCCACGAGACAGAACCAGAGCCAAGACTGAAGGTGTAACCCTGTGACGACCGTTGGGTCGCCTGGTCGTCGGCCCAGGAAGCGTCTGGGTGACCTGCGAGTACCACTGAGTCCCGTCCTCCAAGCACAAGCCCCATGCCCAATGTACTGCACAAGTAACGCAGTACCCTCATAGCAGCTTCCCAGTACACATTTCGGTGTCTACCGGGAGCCACGTAGCGAGCCAGGAGGCTGAGAGGGTACGCGAGGTCAGGTCGTGTGCACGTCATCAGGTACATGAGGCAACCCACAAGCTTTGGATACGGACCACTCGGCTCTACGGACTCGTCCGAAGGTGGAGCTGAGAGCGAGTGGCCTGTAGGCAGAGGAGTGGGCTGTGGCGAGGACCATGTGAAGCCGAAGCGCTGAAGGACCTGGTGCACCATGTGTGACTGAGTCAGGCTGATGGTGCGCCGTGCTCTGTCCAGGGTGATCTGCAAGCCAAGATAGCTCCGTAGCTCATCCTGGTCAGTGCAGGTGTGTCTCTCCTCCAGCTCCGCCTTCACTAGGGCCAGTGCCTGAGTGTCAGCAGTAGCAAAACCAAGTCGTCGACGTACACGAGAACGTAGAACGGCGGCAGAGAAGTGTCGGTGCGTAGAAACAGCGACCGGCGCAGCCAGATCTCCTCGTGAAGGCTGCACTGCAAGAAAGCTGTGGAGAAGTCGAGAGAGTGTAGCTCGTAGTCACGCTGTGCTGCAACGTGTAGCAACACCCGAAGAGTAGTCATCTTCGGGGTGGGGGAGAAGGTCTGGAAGAAGTCGACCTCCTGTCGCTGACTGAAGCCTCGAGCAACGTAACGCGCCTTGAAGGCAGGCGGAGAACCCGGCGGCCGCTTCACTCTGAAAATCCACATGCCATCGACTATGTTCGCCTCAGGAGGAGGAACCTCGTCGACGTAGGTGTCTGTGGACTTCCAGGAAGCCATCTCTGCGTCCATGGCTGTCTGCCACTGAGAGGAGTAGTCACCCGCGATCACCTCAGCGTAAGAGCGCGGGGTAGGGATGTCAAGTGCATCCGGGTCTCCCTCAGGGCAAAGCAGCATGGATGCGAAACGAGGTAAAGCGGCCGCAAGACACTCAAGCTCAAACTGCCTGTCCTCAACGACGTCACTGCTAAGGGCAGGCTCACCCCCGACGGACGGAGGACAGACAGACTCAGAATCAGTAACAAGACTCGCGACGTAGTCGAGACGACGCCTAGCAGCAAAGTCGACTAGCTCAGTGACTAGGGCAAACGCAGCAGTATACTCAAAGGAAGGGTCAGTGACGACAGTGACAGTAGGACTGGCAGCACGAGCAAGGTCGGACTCAGGGTCAGTAAGAGAGGACGTCGGAGGAGACGGCAGGGCAACACGCTGTGGAACAGAGGAAGGACGAAGTGCCATAGTGTGAGTGCCTGGGACAACAGGAGGACGAGAACGGGCGACACGACGAGCACGAACAGGTGTGGAGGCACGAGATTCAGGCTCACAACGCTCAGTCAGGGAGTCTGACAGCTCAGTGTAGGGAGAAGGAGCAGGCAGTGGGGAGCCAGGCGGCAACTGTGTCTGAGACGGGGTAGACGGTGGACACAGGAGAGGTGGAGTGAGGCCAGTGGAAGACGGGAGACTAAGAACCTGGAGAAGGGCCGAGTCAGGCGGTGGCAGGGACGACTGCGGCTGCGGGTAGAAAAACGGTTGGCGCGGCGCAGTACCCGTACCGTCAGCACCTCCAGCACCTCCAGCACTAGCACCTCCAGTGCCAGCAGCTCCAGCACCTCCAGCACCACCAGGACCTCCAGCTCCAGCGCCTCCAGCTCCGGCAGCTCCAGCACCTCTAGCACGAGCACCTCCAGTACCAGCAGCTCCAGCACCTACAGCACCTCCAGTACCTCCAGCTCCAGCAGCTCCAGCACCTCCAGCTCTAGTACCTCCAGTGCCAGCAGCTCCAGCACCTCCAGCACCTCCAGCTCCAACGCCTCCAGCACCAGCAGCTCCAGCACCTCCAGCAGTACCTCCAGCACCAGCAGCTCCAGGAACTGTAAAACTCCAAGCTCCAGCACCAGAGCGGCCTCGCCGAACGACCCACTCACGAAGCTGCTGCAGTGAGGGCGTCTCGAGTCGACTAGGCGGCTGCTGCTGTCCAACGCCAGGACCTGCAGTAGGAGCACCCACGGCCTCACCACCACTAGGACTCGCAACACCCCCAAAGTCAGCACCCCCAGAACCCTCACCCCCAGTCTCAGCACCCCCAGAACACTCACCCCAAGTCTCAGCACCCCCAGGGCCAGCACCTCCAGAGTCCTCACCCCTAGTGTCACCACCCCCACCAGCACCAGTGTCCACAGCTACAGGCTGCAGAGGCGGCCAAGACGGTCGAGGCGAAAAACTAGGAGGGGTCTCCAAGCGTGGAGAGCGACGAGTGGCCGCCGTGTCGTCAGCGGTGGGGTCACCCCCCTCAGCTGGGCCAGAGGTGTCAGAGGAGACCACCAAAGGCTCCACCAAGGGGGGTGGGTCTACCTGAGACACACCTGAGGGACCAGGACCCTGTGGGGGGAGGGGGTCTACCGGAGGGGGAACTGGGACCAGGTGGAGGGGCGCCAGGGGGACCGGGTGGGACGCGTGTCGGTGGAGCCTGTAGAAACAGACAGACTCGTCAAAGGTGACGTCCTGGGAGGACGGGACTCGACGTGAGGCAGGGTGGTAAAACTGCCACGGCGGGGCGTCTGTGGGGAAGCCAAGGAAGACGCAGCGGAGAGTGCAAGGAGAGAGCTTGCTCGCGGTGGTATCGCGGACAAGGGAGAGTGCGCCCCCGCCTGCTGCTACTGAGTTCCCTGTCGCTGGTACTACTCCTCCGTTACTGTTCCCACCGACAGACCAGTCTCAGCCACAGCTACTGCCTGACTTCCCGCTGCCTGCTCCTGCTCCTTACACTGAGGTGACAGAGTCCCTGACTGAGCGTCGAGAGCCTGAGACTCGTGCTTCCACTCCTGAGCGTCGAGAGCCTGAGACTAGAGCTTCTGCCCCTGCTCGTGTTCGTCGTGTTCGTCGTCCTCGTGCTCCGGCTGTGCCAGGCACTCACGATATGACACTCCGTCCTTCCTATGTTCCACATCGTGTTGTCCTGCCTGAGCCCCCCGCGTCCTCTCTTCCTCACGTTCCGGACCCTGAGTCTGACCTTGTCCGTGCTGCCAGTCCGACTGTCACTCGTCTCCTTGCCACAGTTGTGACTGACCCTTCCTTTGAGTATGCTGTTGCGTCTGCCTTAGTTGCTGAGCTTGTTGACTTTGCTGCTTTGTGCCGCCTTGACTACACTTCGAGTCTTGTTTTTGACTCTTCCTGTCCTTCGTCCGTCGGGGGTGAGCTTGCCTTTGGCTGTGACGTTCTTGAGGACAGGCAGTTTGAGCTGGAGTGCCTCGCAGCCGCTGCAACTCATCTCACGTCCATGCTACTTTGCCCTGAGAGAGACCCGGATGCACTGGACATCCCGACCCCGCGCTCTTACGCAGAGGCGATCACGGGTCCGTACTCCTCTCAGTGGCAGATAGCCATGGACGCAGAGATGGCTTCCTGGAAGTCCACAGGCACCTACGTCGACGAGGTTCCCCCACCTGGGGCGAACATAGTTGATGGCATGTGGATTTTCAGGGTGAAGCGGCCGCCAGATTCTCCGCCTGCCTTCAAGGCGCGTTACGTTGCACGAGGCTTCAGTCAGCGTGAGGGGGTCGACTTCTTTCAGACCTTCTCCCCCACCCCGAAGATGACCACTCTTCGGGTGCTACTGCACGTTGCAGCACAGCGTGACTACGAGCTGCACTCCCTCGAATTCTCGACAGCCTTCCTGCAGGGCAGCCTTCATGAGGCTATCTGGTTGCGCCGTCCACGTGGCTTCACTGGGTCGTTTCCTGAGGGTACCCAGTGGAGTCTTCGGCGACCAGTCTACGGCCTACGATAGGCATCCCGCGAGTGGCACGACACACTGAGGACTACACTTGCGGCTCTTGGCTTCGCTCCCTCGACTGCTGACCCTTCGCTGTTTCTGCGCACAGACACTTCTCTGCCGCCGTTCTACGTTCTCGTGTACGTTGACGACTTGGTTTTTACTACTGCTGACACTGAGGCTCTGGCCTTGGTGAAGGCGGAGCTGCAGGAGAGACACACTTGCACTGACCTGGGTGAGCTGCGGAGCTATCTTGGCTTGCAGATCACCCGGGACAGAGCACGCCGCACCATCACCCTCACCCAGTCACACATGATGCAGCAGGTCCTTCAGCGCTTCGACTTCACGTGGTCCTCGCCACAGCCCACTCCTCTGTCTACCGGCCACTCGCTCTCAGCTCCATCTTCGGACGAGTCCGTAGAGTCGAGTGGTCCGTACCCAGAGCTTGTGGGTTGCCTCATGTACCTGATGACGTGCACGCTACCTGACTTCGCGTACCCTCTTAGCCTCCTGGCTCGCTACGTGGCTCCCGGTAGACACCGAAAGGTGCACTGGGAAGCAACGAAGAGGGTATTGCAATACTTGTGCAGTACATGGGGCATGGGGCTTGTGCTTGGAGGACCAGGTTCAGTTGTTCTCACCGGTCACTCAGACGCTTCTTGGGCTGACGACCAGACGACTCACTGGTCGACACAGGGTACAGCTTCAGCCTCGGCGCTGGTTCTGTCTCGTGGAGGTCCACTCGCTCGTCTTCTGTACTTAGTTCCAGATGTGAGGCAGAGATCTACGCTGGGGCTATGGCTGCACAGGAGCTCCGCTGGCTGACCTACCTGCTGACCGACTTGGGTGAGCGCCCTCGTTCTCCTCCAGTTCTGTACGTCGACAACAAGGCCATGATTGGCTTGTGTCAGGACCAGAGACTGGAGCACAGAACGAAGCACATTTCTCTCCGTTACTTCCTCACGTGAGAGCTGCAGCAGCGTGGTCAGCTTCGTCTTGCTTACGTGGCCACACGGGCCAACACTGCTGATGTCTTCACCAAGGCCCTTGGGTCTAGTGATCATCAGCGTTTCTGCACTGCTCTTGGGCTTGTGCCCACTCTGCCTCAGTTGCTTGTCTCTTGATCTTGCCTTGCATTTGCTGTACTCTGATATACATGATTATACCTGCATGTTTGCCCTTGCTAGGTTGTGATCAGTGTACTGCAATTGCTATTAAAAACTCTTGATCTTGCCTTGTGGCCGCTTGCTTGTGCTCAGAATGCGTGGTGATCTTGAGATCCACCCTGAGCTTTGCTTTGTTTGTTTCTCTTGACTGGTCTTGTGACCATTGTTTGCTCTGGCTATCCCCCATTTCGCCTATGGGGGTGTGTCAAAACATACGTGTCACATATTATCTAGGCTATATAGGGACTAGCCTTAGGGGGTACAACACTCATCTCGTCACTCTCACTTGTACCCCACTTCCCAACCTAATCGACACTTCTTCCTCTCACATGACACAGTTCTGCCACTATCAACTGTGGAGTGTGAGCGGGGGTTTCCGCGCCAGAACGTGATCAAGTCGTGAGTCCGTGGGTCTCTGTGCAACGCGCGGCTGGCGGAGCTGATGCAGATTTCGCTGCTACAGTACGAGATGGACCGGCTTGGGGTGTTGGACACCTGGAAGAGCCTCAAGAAGAGGCGCCCGGCGTAGAGCGTCGTATTCCCAGCGGACAAACGGAAGCGCAAAGGCAAGGAAGCGGAGGAGGGAGATGAGGGACCCAGCGAGCCGGCTCGCGAGGAGGAGTTCGCAGAGTCCGACGATGATGGTGACGAGCGGGAGATGGACCAGGAGATTGAAGAGTCGCCACCCCGAGATTACTCAGACGAAGAAGACAATCCCTTCCTGTCCGATGGCGAGGAGGGGGAAGAGACTTACCACATTGATAAGCCGCTTCACTAGAATACTGACTGTGGTGTAGCAGGATGGCAGAGAGCGTAGTTGTAGTACCATGTTGTGTGCAGGACTTTTACTTTGCGAAAATTCTTTTGGAGGACTCTGATTCTAGCTTGCCAACCCTGAACGAACAGATAACTGGTTTCCAGGAGACTGAGCAATCAGTGAACCCTAAAACTGGCCGAAGTGCCATCAGAGTAGAAGGGAAGTTTTTTTTTTGAATTATGGGGGCCAAATTAGAAACTTCAGCCCTGCTTGTCGCTCCATAGTGCAACCCTCTTTGCCCATTTCTCTCGCCCTGTTCACCCTAGACTCTCAGGATTCCTAGATGAACCCTAGGTTTCTAATCCCTGAGTTAAGAGCCGCTCACGACATTTAGTTCCTAAGTTTTCACACATCTTCTTTTGCGTGCTATATAGTGCTTGCTTGTTTTCGCCATTACCCTTCAATTTTTGAGTCAATAATTTCTTCGCTTATTTCTCAAAAATACATATTCATCAAAGTATTCTGCCGGTATAATCAAACCAGCTGTTATCAAAGGAAGCTAACAATCCATAGCTGGGTGTGAGTATAAAAGGCGAGTGTAGGTCTGAACAGAAAGGCAGCAAACTGGAGGTTCGGCACGATCGCGAAGGGGGTTTTATCAGTTCAGGGTTCGGGGTTCAAAGTCACACATCGGTCTGAATTTATCCACCACCGACCCCGCGCGCTTCGTGCAGTCAACCCTGCTCTGCTACGCACTGCACTGCACCGCATCCCCGCGCACATCCCTCTCAGAATTCCTCCAACGCCTTTCCTACTCTGCAGGAATCCAGCGACTCTTGCCTGTGCTGTGCACAGGACGAGGCAGGAGTCAGGAGGACCAGAGCAGCACGATTGAAAGTGAATAGATTTGCCCCTCCTGCAGAGTCTCGACATTCGATTCATCAGTATTTCCAAAAGGTGTCACCGCCTGGTATTTGTATTCAGTGCGGACCGCGTCGAAGCAACCACTCGTTACCCATACTCTCTCGGACCGCACTAGCAGCTCTTTTAGTTTGCCTCGCGTCTCCTCGAGCCCGTCTCAAGGTATGCCGCGCACTGAGATATCAAATCACCATGGCAACCCCACTCGCATGCTCGTCGTTGCGTGCTGGTTGTCCCCAATCGCGCGCTCGTTCCCCAATCGCCTATAATCTCCTTGTCTACTCGCAGCGAAATTACGCGTATTTCAGCAACCGCGAGTTCCATTTCCGTCGTCTCAGCTTGAACGCGCTCTCTCTCTTTTGCCACTTGTCCCCGCTCTTTCCGTCCCTCCCCCCACCACCTCCTCTCGTCCTCCCCCAGCAAGGCCGCGCTACTAAGGCCGCGGATTTTCAAAAGCGGTGCTCTGCTGAGCCGTCCCGTCGGCAATGGCGCGAGAGAGGAGCGGCGCGGCGCCTAGACACGTGGCGTCGAGTGGATGCCGCGGCAGCGGCGGCGGGAATCGCGCCGGCGGCAGCGGCGCGGGTCGCGGAATTACCAAGGATCGCGCGGACAGGCGGCGCCCGAACATCGCGCTTCAGGGCGCAACTCTCCGCGCAAGTGGCGGGCGAGTGCGCGCGGGAGCTGAAGCCTCCGCAGGGGGCCACCGCGTCACCAGCGGCAGTCGCAAACAGTGTCAGTGGCGGGGCGGCGGAGGCGCAGTGACAAGCGCGGAGAATGATGACGACGATGCTGATGTCGCTGATGGTGGTAACCACACTCGTGGCGGGGTGCTTCTGGAGCAGATTGCTGCCGCGGCGCGAATGAAGCGAGCTGCGCAAGAGGCGGCTGCAGCGCGGCGCGTGGCAGCGGAGCAGCGCGGGACGGTGGATGGGGAGGGCAAAGGGGCGAGAGGGCGAGCTGCAGGCATGGCGGTGCGGAGGCGGGGCGACGACAAGGCTGGGAAGGCGCACGGAGGTGACGAGGCAGGTGGGGGTAGTGAAGGGCGGAGGATTGGGGTGAACGGTAACGGGCAGGGGAGGATTCTTGTGACGGAGCAGCAGGCAGGCGGCTGTGATGAGGGCCAGGTGATGCAGGAACAGCACACAGCAGCAGCAGTGTTGGAAGGAACAGCAGAGGGAGTGAGAAAGGATGGAACGGACGAGGAAGCGAGCAGGACGCAGGCAGAGGCAGCAGCAGCAGCAGCCTTTCCCACACTGGCACTGCCGCTGCTGGTGCCTCTGCTGGGCGCGGGGGAAGACGTGGCACGCGCCATGTGCGTGAACAGGGAGTGGCGCCACTCGCTCACACACGCCGTCCGCTCCTTCTCCCTCCGCTTCCACCCCCACTCCCTCTCTTGGCGCCCCTCCTTCCGCCATTCCTCCGCCCTCCCCTCCGCCCACCACTGGAATCCTGCAGCCGTCCAGCTCCCCCTGCTGGACCCCGCGCCTGCGCCCCTCCCCCCGCCGTCCCTCCGCCTGTGCGCCAACCAGGGGTGTGGCAGCTGCGCCAGTGGCAGCACTGCCTGGTGCGCGGGGGGGGGGGGGGCGAGGGGGGTGGGGGGAACGGGCGGAAGCAGGAGGCAACGCGAGCAGCAGCAGCAGCAACAACAGCAGCAGTGACGAGTATGGGAGCGGATGGGGGAAGGTGCTGAGTTCAGTGGTACTGCAGTGCGACATGCCCTTCCCATGCACATCACTTTTGACACCGGGCAACAGTGTGACAAGCTGGAAGCACGCTCTCTCTCGCTACCCCAACCTCACCTCGCTGCACCTACCCCTCCTCTCCTCCCCCCCTTGGTCCACCTTGACCGACGGCCACGACTACAGTGCAGGCAGCAGCAGCCGTTACTACCCGCTCCCCTGCGACGTGCTCGTCTCGCCGGCTCACCTGAGCAGCCTGCTGTGCGGCCTGGGGCAGCTGGAGTGCCGTGCCACGCTGCGGTGCGTGCGCGTGGAGGTGACTGTGGACTGGCACTCGCAGCACCTGGTACGCACCAGCAGCGGCAGCAGCAGCAGCAGCGGCGGCGGCGGCGCGCACGGCTTGCACCGCGCTCTCAGAGAGCACCACCTGCTGTGCCACCACGGGGAGCCCGCCTGCCCTCGCCTCTTCCACAGCCGCATGCAGAAACGCACGCTGGTTATGGAGCAGAGAGAAGTAGAGAAGGGCGTGCAGGGCCTGCTGCATGGCTGCCCCAACCTGCGAGCGCTGCACCTGCACGGCCCGGATCTCTCCTGCCTCCTCTCCCTCTCGCCCTCCACCCTCGCTGCCTTCTCCCACCTCACTCACCTCTCTCTCCCGCTCCCAGGCTCCATCCCTACGCCCGTTCTCCACCTCTCCCGCCTCGCTTCTCTCTCCCTCTCGCTCTGCCTCAAGTGCCCTGCTGCTCTCGCCAGCTTCCACCGCCAGATGCTCTCCCCGGGCCTCTTCCGCCACCTCTCCTGCCTCTCCTCCCTCTCTCTGCTCGCCCTCCGCTCGCCCCGTGGTCCCACCACCTCCACCTCCAGCGTTAACGTGTCACCAAGCCTCCTCGATGGCTTGCAAGCCTCCCTCCGCTCGCTCACGCTGCTGCTGCATGATGCCGACGTGCACGCCCCGAGTGCCTCGCCCTTCGCCTCCCTCTGCACCCTCTCCCGCCTCACACACCTCAACACCGATCTTCACACCAATTTCACCACTGATTTCAACACGCTCGTCTACCCCCCTCCCTCGTCCACGGCCCCTTCCGCTTCACTCACTCCCATCGCGCACCTCTTCCCACCACACCTTTCTACCCTCCCCCCCTCTCCCACGCCACATCTCGGCCTCGCGTCCCTATCGCACCTCACCTCCCTCGCCCTCACCTCTCTCACCCACGTTCCTGCATCCCTCTCACTCCTCTCCTGCCTCTCCCACCTCGAGTTGCCCCAAGCCACAGACGACCCTCACGGGGCCATCCGTGCGTTGCCCCACCTTGCCCACTTGGACTGCAGTCTGCTGCAGCTAAACCACCTCCTCGATTTGGGTCCCTCTCCCTCCTGCAAGCCCTGCTCCTGTGGGATCCGTGTGAGCTGTGACTGCTGCGACTGCCAGGGCAGCAGCGGCAGCGGCAGCAGTGGCGGCAGTGGCAGCGACAGCGGCAGCGGCAGCAGCAGCGGAGCAGCAGAAGCAAGCACACATGCTCCCTTCCCCCACTGCTCCTGCTTGCACCCGTCGCAAGCACCACAGCAGCGCACCCGTGGTCTCACCTCGCTGGTGCTGCGTGCACACCCGCAGCTGCCTACCACCCACGTCCACACTCACTCCTACCCCTCCCTTCTCCACTTAGAGCTACACGGAATCGCCTCCTGCCACTGGCGCTGGGGCAACCGCGCCGTACCGCCCACCTTCTCCCTCTTCCCCAACCTGCACACCCTCATCTGCAACCCCCTTCCCGACGACCCACAAACAAACCACTCTGTGAACCTATACCTTGCCCTGCTCCCCTCTCTCACCCGCATCTCTGGGGGGTTTGCGCTGTGCCGTGCTGACCGTCTGCTCTATCCTTCTCTCCACACAGTCGTGTTTAACCGTGTAAGGCTGGTCCCTTCTGTGCCCTGGGAGCCGCTGCTGCAGCTTCGGTCTCTGCGCACGCTCATTCTCTCGCACTCGTTCCTCCTCTTGGACTCACCGAACCCATACTACTGGCACCGAGACGTGCCACCGCCCTTGCACCTTCTCACAGCCCTGCACACGCTGCAGATGCCCCTGCCCTGCCATAAACGGCAACGAAATCTGCCAGTGCTTACCTTGAACTGGCCTCCGCACGTGCGCTGCCTGCGCCTGTGCGACTCCCCTCTCACTCATCTTCCCCCGACTGTGCTCGGGTGCCTCGAATTAGAGGAGCTGCATCTGATTGGCTGGCCGCATTTGAGTGAGCTGCCTGCAGGGTTGGCAGGGTTGAAGAGGCTAGGGGTGGTGAGAGTGAGTGGGTGTGAGGAGGAACCTACTGTGCCTGTTGAGCTGCTGCCTCTGCTGCGAGGGAAGCGCTGGCACTTTCCCTTCACCCAATCCATGGCTTGTGAGCGATGAGGTGCTGATTGCCCTGTCCAAAGCTCAATATAACTTCAAATGTTAGTGAGGAATGAGTGCATGTAGCAGTAGCGGTGGCGGTAGTAGCACCGGTTCTCCCTCCTCTCCCACCTCCCGCTCTCCCTCCCCTGGTGTTGGCTACCGCATCTGGCTCAGCACGTCGTCTCCTGACACGCACCCCTACCCTCTCCTCTTCAGCCTCCACTACCTCTCTGCCGCTTAGGTTGCTGCTTGCGCTGCTACCCTGCACTTCCCCACCTCGCACCACTCAGGTATCCCGGGCATGAGCAAGTTTTTCCTGCCCGAGATCCTGTGGCAGGTGTCCGAACGGTATTTCTAGACATGGATATGATTCTGGCTACAGACGTGCAGGAGCTGGATGAGATTAAAAGGGATGAAGAGTTACTGTACTGGATGGGGAACAACCACCCTGAGGGGGGCAGTAAAGGCAGCTGTGGGACCCTTATTGCAGCCGCCAGCTTGTAATGGACTTGGAGAGAATGCCACAGGCCAATATGAGTAGGGTGAGTGGGACACGGGGAAGAGGAGGCGCGGGGAGAGAGGGAAGGGGAGGGAAGATTGGAGCCAAGGTCTGAGGTTAGAGGATCTTAAGAGGAAGTGACGGGGGTGGGTGTGAAGTGGTAATGCAAGCATGGAAGTATCAAGGGATGAGCACAACAATGATTCAAAAGGAGCTGGTAATTATGTAGTTTATATTGCCTAACAATGTAGTTTAGCAATGACATATGATGGTGTTGGATATTGATACGGCTCTGAAGGATTTTATTTTTTCTATGTTTTCTTCTCCTGAGGCTCGCATCTACCGGTATGTCTGGTGGGTGTGGATAAATATGTAGTATTTCTGAATTTAGGGGTAACAATAGAGGCTGGGAATGTTTAGTTATAACTGAACCAGGCATGCTTTTGATTGTCGTTTGCGACAACGAGTGCAGGTGTACTGAAGCTGTTTGCATAACCTTTGGAGTGATGACGTGGCATCTTGATGCTTTTTCGTGGCGTTGTTGGCCAATCTTAGAGGAAGGCTTCCTACAAATCAGCACAAGCCATGTCGAAGTTTCGACTGACCGAAAGTTGCACTCACCTCGTTCGCTGATGTGTCACGTGGGTGTAGAGGTGAATTCCGTCCCAGTAGATACTTTACGGCTGGATCTGTCTCGTCGGAGTTTCTGAAGGCTGCCACGTAGACAGCTGTTTCAGGATTCGTCCGTCCTTTCGCTTTTCCCAGCAGACGGGGCGCCGTGGCAGAAATTGAATATCGTCCCCTGGGAGATCCCGAAAGCTGGCAGGGGGCGTAATAACCGCGCAGCATGGCGATGGCGGAGCGCCCCGGCTGTTCCGCATCGCCGGAAGCTGCCTTCCCGCGACACTCCGCGTCACCAGAAGCTGAATTGCTCCCCTCCGCTCTGCGCGTGCCACATTGCCCCCTCCACCCCGCAGAGAGGCTGATCTGCGGATTGGCTGAGACTAAGGGGAAAACTGCACTGCCTCCGTGGCTCCACCCTTCCCCGTAAACCAACCTCCTTTTCCCCACGCGGGGGGCATTTCCCCTTCGAGCCTTGTTCCCCCAACTTCCAAGCCGAATCTCTCCCGCCCTCCCCCACCTCTGCCGTTTCTTGATTATCATCAATCTGTCTGCTTCGCCCCCGAGCTTTCTAATAAAGCCCCTCCAGAGCATTGTGCTGTTATCTCTATTTCGAACATTGAAAACTACACGATCACAACTGCCAAAGCCGGATCTGGCAGCAAGCGCCCTCCCTTCGCCTGCGCATTTCGTTCGTCTGCGTAGCAGGCCGCGGGCTACTACGGCTTGAAACGAAACTCGTCTTCTGAAACCGTCTCCAGCTCTCTTTCACTACTTAGTCACCATGGAGGCGTCAACCCGCGCTGCGCTGTCGCACGCGCTGCACCCGACCACCCTTGTAACGGTGGCGCCCAATCTACGCCGATCGGTTCATGTTGCGGCTACAGCACAACCTCTACCTCCTCTCGCCGCGTCCCGCGCATCGCGCTCGTCGCGCTATTCGCAAAAGTCGTCGTCAAAGTCAATGATGCCCGTGTCGCCGAGCCCCGGAATCGCCGCTGTCGCCGGAAAGAAGAAGCGGTCGGCTCGCAACCGCGCGGCGTCGCCGCCACCTCAAGCCATCGTGTCCGATCAATGTAAACAATCTCGTTTCTGACCACACCCATGTTCGTAGTTTCTCGGTTTCGTCGCTGCTACAGCAGGGTCCTTACCACGCGATCTTGACGTCTTCATGTCTCTTGTCAGGTCATCCGCACGATCACTCCTCTATCAGCTTCTTCAAGAAATTCCTGCGACGTGCTGCGATGTTATTCTGGCCCCTTTCCCCACCATGTGCGCATCTTGGCAATCTTCCCCCTCTTGTACAAGCTGATAGGACTTCCATTGGGTCGCATGCCATCAGGCACTTTCTACATTCAAATTTCACATCTGCATCTTCGTCTTTTCCGCCGCCCCCTCTCAACCCTCCGCTCTCCCCGCTTTCCCTCTTGGATTCCCGCATTCCCCCCCCCCCCCCGAATTGACGCAGTCAATGCGGTCTCCGAGGAGACCGGGGTCAGCACGGACGCACACGCGGCGGCGGCGGCGGCGGCGGAGGCGGCACCGAAGGTGGAGCAGGTCTACGAGGAGGTAGACGGGCAGATGGTGCCGGCGCGCATGCTCACGTTCACCATCGTGGGCGCGTCGGGCGACCTGGCGCGCAAGAAGATCTTCCCCGCGCTCTTCGCGCTCTACTACGAGGGGTGCCTCCCGGAGGTGAGCCATGGCGACGTGGTGGGCAAGGGGAAAGGGGGAAGGGGAGGGGGGAGAGGGGGGAGAGGGGGGGTAAAGGGGACGGGGCAAGGGGAGGGGGGGGAAGGGGAGAGGGGAAATTGATCGGTTCGAGCTGTGTTGCCAGGGGTTTGCGGGTAGGGTAAGATAAATTCAGAAGAGTAGAACAAGTTTTTGAACGGTGGTAGCGAAAGGGTGCAAATTGCGCAATTCGCGCCAACGACTGCGGCCATGGTGGAATCGAACGGCTCAACTTCTTTCAAGGATTGCAAGACCAGGTGCGCCTCAGAGAATAACGTGCCTGTTTTCGTTCCGCCCGGAGTGACGCGATTCACACGCGATTCTTCCATTAATGGACTGTCAGAAGGCCAAGCACACGCATCACTTTCCTCGCTTCTTCCCGCCGTCGCGCACGTTTTTTTTTTCCGCAATATCGTCGCGGCACAACTGTTCGACTTGTTTCCGCACTGCATCTCCTGCGCGTTTTCGTAGACCCACTCTCTTGCACCGTCTGATTCCCTCCTCCCTCCGTCGATCTCCCCCTCCCTTCTCGTTCGTTCCGTGGTGGCGCAGCACTTTCAAATATTCGGGTATGCGCGCAGCAAGATGGACGACGCGCAGTTGCGCGAGCTCATCAGCTCCACGCTCACCTGCCGCATCGACAAGAGGTGCGCGCTCCCCGCCCTCCGCCCTCCGCCCTCCGCCCTCCGCCCTCCGCTCTCCGCTCTCTGCCTGGCCGCTCTCCGCGTGGCCGTTCCGCCGACTCTCGCCCACTTCCTCCTCCTCTCTCCGCTACTCGCGTCCTCTCCTCCTTCCTTCATTCCTACACCCCCTCTTCCCCTCGTCCCCCCTCCCCCCTTCCATCTCTCCCCTTCCCCCGTTCCCCACATCCCCCTTGCGCTCGCTCGCTACTCTCTCCTTGCTTCCCCCTTCCCCATCCCTTGGTCAGCGTTATGCCGCATGCCTCCTCGCCATCCATTCTCCACCCGACCCCACCCACACTCGTCTACAAGCGCCGTACTCGTCAATTCGCGTCCATCGGTCCGCCCGTCCGTCCCTTGCTCCCAACACTCCCCTTCAATCCCGTTATCCTTTTCTCCCCTTCCTCCGTCCGCTGCCACTCCCACTCGCGCTCCCCCCCCCCCGTCCCCCTTTGCCTCCCCCCGCGCGGCGGAGCAGCGACGACTGCGGAGACAAGATGGACTTCTTCCTGGAGCGCTGCTTCTACCACAGCGGGCAGTACGACAGCCAGGAAGGCTTCGGGGGGCTCGACGCGCGCATGAAGAAACTCGAGGTGCGCGAGGGGTCGTGCTGATGCTGATGATGCTCATGCTCATGCTCATGCTCACCACTGATGGTGCTGCTTCTTGTCAATCATTGCTGCTACCTCGCCATTCCCTTCCCTTTTACTTAAACTAAGCGTCACCCGTCGTTTCCTGCTCCCTCCCTCCCTCCCTCCCTCCCTCACTCACTCACTCACTCGCTCACGCACCTTCTCCCGTCACCCTTCACACTCTCTCCCAACTCCTTTCCCCCCCACCCCCATCCCCCCCCACCAGGCGGGGTACGTAGCGGACCGCATGTTCTACCTCGCCATCCCGCCCAACGTCTTCGTGCCAGCAGCGCGCTCCGTGTCCCACGCAGCGTCGTCCCCGACGGGGTACACGCGCGTGATCGTGGAGAAGCCGTTTGGGCGTGACAGCGAGTCCAGTGCGCTGCTCACGAAGCAGCTCGGGCAGCACTTCACGGAGGACCAGATCTACCGGTGAGGGGAGGGAGGGAGGGATGAAGGGGGGTGGGAAGGGGAAGGGGGGAACTGGGGGGCGGGGGAGGGTGAGGAGGGGAAAGGCGCAGGGTCTTTCCAGCGCGTTGCTCACGAAGCAGCTCGGGCAGCACTTCACTGAGGACCAGATCTACCGGTGAGGGGGGAAGGAGGAGGGGGGAGGGTGGGCAAGGGGAGGGAGTTGGGAGTATGGGAAGGTGAGGAGTAAGGTTGACTGTAGGGTGTACAGGCAAGGGTCAAGGTCTGTCCAGTGCGCTGCTCACCCAGCATTGAGGTGATTTTTCAGGCGTCTCAAAAATCACAGGCAAGGGGCAGGGTGATTTCTTCAAGTGCGCTGCTCACGAAGCAGCTGGGGCAGCACTTCACGGAGGACCAGATCTACCGGTGAGGGGGGAAGGAGGAGGG